TGTTGTATATGTGATTTCTTTTTAGTCCATTAGTGTTGGTGGATGGATGTAGTATTTATTTAGTATTTAGTATTTAGTTTTTTTCCATGTCAAATAAAGAGTCAATATAAATAGTTTTTTTACAATCAATATCATTCTTATCATAAAAATATGTTTCCTTTTTCTAAATGAAAAGTTGAACCAGTCAACATCTTTAAGAAATATTCTTAATATTGTAAATCTAATCAAAAAGACATTCATAAAGAAGCAGCTAAGTCATTTATTGATCGGTGTGCGCTGGTACAGTTTGTCTCTGTCTAAACTGCGCAACAAAGCTGGTGACGCCGGTGAGTTGACGTGCAGTACTGAGGTCTAACGGCAGGGGGCAGCAGCAGCATGCAGCCTCCGGAACAGCAGAAGAAGAGCTCGACCAATCACAGCGCTGGGTGTAGTGTGGGACTTTTGGCTTGGGTGGTTAAATACCAAACATGACCAGTCAGTGCCCGGGTGGGGAACAACACAGGTCGGTTGGTCTCATCCTCCCTCCTCGCGCCGTGTGGCCGCTGCTCTGAACCGAAGGTAAACACTGTGCTGAACGCGGGAAGTTGAATTTATGACATTATTTAAGTTAACGTAAACATGTCAACATTGGGCTAATATTTAACGTTAATTACATTAGCCTAACGTGACGCAATTTATTACGCTAGCTTGTGTCGCAGTTTGTAAAACGTGACTTGTCATAGGACTGTATAGCTGTTACAGTAGCTGTCACATAACTATGTGATATATGTTTATATGTAGATGACCCGCCTTGCTCGGTCCAATATGGCGACGACGTTGACGTATCGGTCTGTTGATGTAGTAATGTAGTTAACTCTCGTGTTACCTTACTGTTGTACCTACATTCATTTTTCAGGTTAACAGGCCTCATTATATCACCTCATCATTATGTTCATATGATGTGTGCCTGTAGAAAGTCAAGATTTTGTCTTGTAATATTATGACTTTATTCTTGTGTTATTATGATTTTAGTCTTGTAATATTATGACTTAATTCTCGAAATTTCCTCAATGTCGCCCCAATACTCATATAATCATAAAAGTATTTTATTAATAATTAATAATTGACCATTTTTTTTACATCACCATATACGTTTCTGTAATTAAAATCATATGTTACAATACACAAAATAAATCCATTTTTATTGAATAGCTGAAAGCACCCAACATGTTGAATAACTTGATAAGGGACTGAGTGGGGAAATGACTGTGCAAACCACAGCAGTGAGCCAGGTGTGACACCAGGTAGGTCACACCTGCGGGTGTTGCGACACCTGCACTTTTACAGAAACATGATTCCACCCGTTAATTTTATAGCATGTAGATGAGGAAGTAAAGTCCAAAAGAAGAGCAGGCAGAGGACTGACGGGTTTAGAGACAGAATTAAAAGAAAGAAAGAAAAAGTCTTTAACAGACACTAAGAAGTCTCACGTCATTGCTTGATACTACAGTGTGTGAGTCTGTGGCGTGAAGGGCAGCTGCGTGGCGTGGTGCCATTCTGAGCTCAGTGTTTTTTATACACGGTGGTGAAGAATATGTTGAAATCCACAGCACTCATTTTGATGTGAATTTTAAAATGGCTGCTCCACATTCGGGTTGTTCACAATATTTCCCTGTGGTATGTCAGCTTCTGTGACGTCTGTTTTCTGTTTGTTCTGCAGGACAGATTGTTCTTTGGCTGCCCTTCATTAGTTTCTCCCAGTTCAAGGGTTTGTTTAGCAGTTGTTATGATCTGAGAAAGATTTAAGACACTTCAAGAGAAACAAAGTCTGAGGTCAACCTCCTAAAGAGGAAACCCTCTAAAAAACCTGGTCAGTGATTTACTAAATCTAAAATGAAACTACCTCAGATTTGTAAATGAACTTAGTTAAAGTTCTAATCAGTAACTTCTCAATATTAAAATGTCTAAAAACATCTGTTTAAATGAAGCTTCATGTAGAAGACTTTCATCTCTTTATCTTTCCATCAAAACAAAGTGAAGTTTCTCTTTCTGATTCACCCAGCTGACCTGCGGCTGCGGCGTGATACAGTGTGCGCTTGTGCGTAGGAATACGATAGTTTAGCAGTTGAGGAAAATGTAGTGCCAGAGGAAAGTGGTGTTTTGATGGGAAGATAAAGAGCTGAAAATATTCTACATGAAGCTTCATCTAAACAGATGGTGCATCGGTTTCAGTGGGCGTCTTTTTCCGCTGGCCCCGCCCACAGCGGCTCATTCCTCTGATAGTGTACCGGTCCTCCTGCTGCTCCTCTAAACTGATCCGAATCTACTGCAGGTAACACACTGACTGTACACGACGACCTCACACAACCCCACGTCTAACAACCACAACTATCCCTTTAAGTTATCGGAGAAATAAGCTGAGGAAATGTTCGACAGCTCGGCTCCAGCTGCTGGAGACTTCCTGTCCTGTGTCCCTGAAGAGCGTCGCTGAATCTCTGATTTTTTCCGTGTGTTTCTCCTGGTTTTAATCTCCTGGTGTGTTTGTTTTGGAGAGGAGGAAACCTCTGAGGATCATTCAGCTGCTGGTCAAAACCTGCTGAACATCTGCTTCATGAGCGATCAGAGAAACAGTCAGAACAAAGGTTAGCATCAGTCTCAGCTCTGACTCTTCCCTGAGTCTCTGTCCTCCGTACAGCGTCGCTCAGACTCTGACTTTAAATGTGAAGCTGCTTCATTCAGTGTTTGTAATGGTTAGAATCACCTGACCCACTGACGCTGAAGGAATCCAAACTACAACTCCCATGATCCCGCTACTTCATGATGTCACCCAACACTGTCTTTTGTTGTTGTTTTTATTGAGAGACCCCTAGAGGCAGAAGTGACTGACTGTGAGTGGGGGGGGGTGTTAAAGACCAAGGCCGCTACGAAATGAAGAGTTTGTCCAATTTATGCATCAAAAGACAAAATACAGTTTCTCTCACAGTTATTGTGCAAGAAATGGCCGCTCCACATCCCTGTGACACATTCAGGGTGTTCACAATATTTCCCTGTGGTATGTCAGCTTCTGTGACGTCTGTTTTCTGTTTGTTCTGCAGGACAGATTGTTCTTTGGCTGCCCTTCATTAGTTTCTCCCAGTTCAAGAGTTTGTTTGGGGCGTTTTCTTTGTGTGATTCAAGGGTCTGCGGTCAGGGGGTGTGGTCTGTTGTTGAGAGGATCAGCCCATCGCTACAAACCCTGTTTCACAGTTGTTAAGATTTAAGAGACTTCAAGAGAAACAAAGTCTGAGCTCAACCTCCTAAAGAGGAAACCTGGTCAGTGATTTACTAAATCTTAAATTAAACTACCTCAGATTTGTAAATGAACTTAGTTAAAGTTCTAATCAGTAACTTCTCAATATTAAAATGTCTAAAAACATCTAGACCTGGTTGAGAAAACACCTGTTTTAGCCACTTAAAAGACGCCCAGTGAAGTGGTCAAGTGATTGTTGGAGGGGAGGAGGAGGAGGACCTTTGGCCAGACAGGGAGTCTTTGTGGTCCAGCTGCTGTCAGTCAGCGGCCGTCTGTCTGACCTGACGCCTTCTCCCGTCTGGTTTCTCTCCAGGTTTGTCCCTGAGACGACATGAAGCGCTGCCTCGGACTCTTGCTGCTGCTGCTCTGGTGTGGGATGCTGCAGCCGGGTGAGTGGACCGGGACACGGGCCCTGAACGCACCACACCTTCCTTCAGCCCTGCTTTCATTTATCAAGCCAGACACTTTTAAAGTTCGTTAACAGAGTAATTAACTTAAAGAATACTAACACTTTACATTGTTTGACACTTTACTTTCTTATAGAATGAAAATTTAAGTTTTAAAGACAAAGAACTGAAGTAACTGTCAAACTAACTAATCTATAAACCAACAGTGACTGAGATAACAGCAGATCCATAAATCCATCTGCTGGTTTATTGATCTGTATTATCATATTGACAATATAGTAAAACACAAGTGGAATCAGATAAAGAAGTTGTTCATTGTTGACAAATAAACTCGTAAAAAATCTTTACATCTGCTCACATTATAAAAATATTTATAAACTGATTAAACATGTTAAATAAAGTGTCATCCAGCCCTCAAGCTAGCTGTGTGTGTGTGTGTGTGAGTGTGTGTGTGTGTGTGTGTGTGTGAGTGTGAGTGTGTGTGTGTGTGTGTGTGTGTGTGTGTGTGTGTGAGAGAGAGTGTGTGAGAGAGTGTGTGAAGCTTTTATGAGTCAGTCCATGAAACAGTTTTTGACTTTGGCATCACAGTTTTCCCAGAAACAACGGACGCTTCCTCCCAACAGATTTAAAGGAACATTCATCCACTTCACGTCCAGTTCCCGTTTTTTAAACAGGAACTGGTTTGGAAATCTCTGATTATCTCAAAATAATCAAACTTTTCCAGAAACGACTTCACAGACTTCAGTGTGTCAGAGTCTGTGGACTGAAAACAAACTGGGAGATGAAACAGTTTATATTATTATATATAATATATAATTGGATTGGCTAAAGTATTAAAATAAAACCAGTTTCTTCTTCTTCTTCAGGAGCTGCACTTCGCTGCTATAACTGCATTGATTACACCGGGCGCTGTGGGAACATCCAGGACTGCACGAATGAAGACTCCTGTCTCACTCTGAGTGAAAAAGGTCAGTGTCCATAAGAAATAATAATGATAAGAAATAATAATCTCTGTTTGTGAAACTTTTCATACAAAAAAATACAGCTCCAAGTTTCACCCTGTTTTCCCACATGAACGATCCAGGTGTCGCATCAACTTTCACAGCGTCGAAGGAGAAATTTAGTTCGGTGTAAAAAAACAATGAAGGGGGGGGGCATGATGTCAGTGAGGGTCCTCACACGTGTAGTAAGACTGACGAGTGTGTGTGTTTCACAGTATCTACAGGCGGGAAGACCATCCGTCGATGTATCAGGTACACGGACTGCAACTTCTCCCGCCTCAGCCAGATGTACCAGTCGATCTCCAGCTTCACCTACAACTGCTGCAGCAACAACCTGTGCAACTCCAGCAACGCCGTTACCACGACAACGCCCATCCTGGCCCTGCTGGGATCCCTGCTGACTGTGTGGTGGTCCTGGATGTGAAGTCATGGAGGATAAGAACCTGCAGCAGTTTAGCATTTTATAAAGTTAACACGAGCTAAACGGATGCTGTTGTTCTGTCGCCTGTTTCACTTCCTGCCTCTCAGGTCACATGTCAAATTAATTAATCCACTTCTTCAACTTGTTTTGCTAATTTGCATTTCAATACTTTTATATCATCTTAAAAATAAATACAAAGAAGAAAAGTTTTCAATTCTTTCTTTCTTCTGGCTTCTTCCTGCAAACACCTCCGACACGCCAACCTCATGAATATGCTAATTAGCTTATGATGTCATCTAGAGACCTTTAGCAACTTCTCCAGCAGTTTTACCTCCTTTCTGTTGAGCGTAGTTCTTTAGAGCAGTTTTCAATCAGGTTCTCATTTCACACTCTGACCATGTCCAGACAGATACAGGTTTTTACCTCGTTACGTTATCGGGTTTCAATTAATTTTATTGATGGTACAGATTTATGACTTTTGGGTTGTATAATTAAACTTTATATACATTTTTAGTTTCTTGAATTAAAATAACAACATCCCAATCTGTCTGTTAGTTTCAGTTCATCAGTCTGCGGCTTGAGCCTGTTGCTGATACGACTACTTTGATACGACCAGTCATTTACAAATGGTTGGGCGGCGGGGGAGGGGCACCTGAAAGGGTTAAAACAGGGAGGAAACATCTTACATTTTCAAACGTCTCTCTGAAGACCATCATCGTGTCGACCTCAGCTGTTTACTATTGATTCCATTAACAAAAGATTTTCATCACCAGCGGAGACGAAACGAAACCTGCGACAAAAAATCTCCAACATTTCAATGAAGAAATTAATAAAATGAAGTTTAAATATAAAAACAATAAAATCTCTGTAGGAGAGAAAAACTGTGGCTCCAAAATCACTGGAACAAAAACCACAAACCTGAAGAGACTGAAACTGAACCAGAACAACTGGATATTGTTGCAGGCCCAGAACCACAACCAGATTCAGATCTAGATCCAGAACCAGATCCAGAACCAGATCCAGATCCAGATTTCCCCTGAATTCTGTAGGAAAACTCAGAGACTCCTCCGGTCGACTGTTTTATTATAATGAGACTTGGTTACAATAATTTAAATCTTAGAATAAATGTTCTTTGAGTAATTTTACATAAACCGGTGGAAGTGTAGGGAGGAGTCAGATCAGAGCGTCATGTGACTGAGGAAGAGTCGAGGTAAATACTGTGTGTAATAATAATCCAGTTTGTAGCTGGAGTGGGGACAGTGTCTCCAGGTGTTCAGTCGCTCATGTCTTCCAGTCCGTCCTCTTCAATCTGTCGTCCAATCACCTCCAGCTGCACCATCTTCTTCTGTCCTTTCTGCTCCGCCTCTCTCTCCGCTGGTTTCTCTGATTGGGCGTACCAGGGCTGAGGGGCGGAGCTGTCACAGGTCCGGCCTCCTCTGCGGAAACCTCCTCTTCCGGCTCGGACCAACCCCCATCCCTGCGGCTGGACCTCGGACCCCCCCTCCTGGACTCCCCTTGTCTGGTCCAGCTCCTTGGCGCTGAGAGACGGCATCCGGACCGGAACCGTGTTGCCGAACTTGGAGTAGTCGACGCAGTAACGGCCGTCCTCCTCTGTGATGATGGAGACGAAGCGGCGCCCCCACAGGATCTCCTCGGGGGTGTAGGAGGTCCGGGCCTGCATGCTGATCCCTGTTGTCTCCACCACACCTGAAGACAGAGACAGACACAGCTCAGCTGGGCCCGGTCCAAATGCACATAACCTCAGAACAACTTGTTCTGTTGGGTTACTGAAAAAATCTGATGAAAGTCAATGTTTCAGAAAAGAAAGCTTCAACATGTCACCTGACGAGTACAGGTGAGACTGATCGGGTTAAGGAAACCAAAAACATTTTTATATGATCAATACAAACCTGAAGTGAAAATCAAAAGAGAAAGAATTCACAAAATAAACATCAACACAGAGAATTCTTCAATGTGAGTCTCTGTGTGGAAAATAAACTGACTTTATCATCAGGGCTCTTTTGGATTTTGGAGTATTTCTGCCTCCTGGTGGCCAAAAATGGAACAATGCAACTAAAAGAACGTGGAAGCTGGTCTTTAATTAATGAATATTAAATATGTAATGATAATATTGTTTTATGCAAAACTAACTAAATTAAATTATTTTATCAAATTATTTTAATTTTTAACTGTATTTGTCAACTCCTGCTGTTGCTGTTGGTGCTCTAAAAATAAATAAAATAAATATGACAGAACTTGATTTATTCTCATTTCTTTAACTGCTTTACTTTACATTCAAATTGGTAGTTTTATGTGTATTTTATGTGAATTCTTAAAATGAAGTAAATTGCACAAGCTATTATTTTTTAAAAATGTATTAGTTTAAATCCAAATTTTAAGAACTAGAAAAAAGTGTTTTAATTAAATATTTAAAGGAGCTATTTGTGTGTTTTGCGATCACTACATAGCTAACATTAGCACTAGCAGCTGTTTGTTCCTTTACTCACCAACAGCTGTCTCCAGAGGTGGAAAGAAACCATTTTGTTCCGCTTCTATTTTTATCACTTCCTTTCTAGTACTGAAGTTAGCATGCTAACCGGCTAGCTCCTTGACTGTCCCATCATTTTCCGATACCGAGTCACTGAAGTGTAAGAGGAAGTATTATGACCTTTTGTCTGTTTAATGCAACAATGACTGAAGCTCTTACCAACACTGCTCAGTAAACAGTTGTTAATGCTAACTTTAGCTACGTAGCAATAGCAAAACGTACAAATGGCTCCTTTAAGATATGTAAGCAAAATTTAATGATAATTAAATGTTAAACTGCGAAGATGAATGTTGAGTCTGTAGGTTTTGTGGAAGCATCAGGTTGAAACTTTTCTCTAACTCTCATGAACAAACAGAAATATTCCATTGTATTTAACATGTTGGTATTTCCATGGCAGATCCTCCATAATGTTAATCCAGGTGTGCGTGACCCCTGACCTTCCAGGATGACGATAATCTCCAGGTCCTCGGAGGCCAGGGACTGGGCGGAGAGCTCGTACAGTGGACTCCCTCTCTCCATGGTGTGGCTGATGATCAGAGGAGAAACCAGGAAGATGCCGTTACTCCTCAGAGGGTTCTCCACCTGGATGTCCAGCTGACACACCGGGATCACCTCGCCCTCCGCCGTCACCGTCCGCCGGATCACCTGGAGGGAAAACCTCAGGCTAAACAACCCGACACAGTGACAGTGAATCAACAACTTCAGGGTCACGAACCAGACGAACTGAAAACAGCCTGAGAACACGAGGCCGGTCCACGATGAGCTGGTTTCTGGTTTCCTGCTTCATCTTCAGACTCTGATTAATGTGAATGAGGTTTTTATTTCTGTACAGTTAATATGAAGCCACAGCCAGCTGCTGGTTAGCTTAGCTTAGCATAAAGATTGGAAACAGCTAGCCAGACTTTGGACAGAGAAATGCTGCTTTGCATCTCTTTGTTGTGGTTTTGTGCATCTTTCTTTGTTTTGTGTCTCTTTGTGTCTCTTTGTGTCTCCTTGTGTCTCTTTGTGTCTCCTTGTGTCTCCTTGTGTCTCCTTGTGTCTCTTTGTGTCTCTTTGTGTCTCTTTGTGTCTCCTTGTGTCTCCTTGTGGAGATTTGTGGGTCAGTGTTTCATAAAGCAGCTGTTCTGTCGTCCTGAGTTTAATTGCGTCACGAATGTTTCTGATGCACCAGTTTGTTCTGCAGCTGAAACATGAAGGAAAAAATCAACAGCCCTGACTTTTAACTGAGCTCTGACACCTTAGGACCTGGACCTGGACCTGGACATGGATCTGGACCTCGTAGACCTGAACAGCTTTATGCTACATGAGCAAACGCCTGCTGATGAAGACCATGTGATACAGCTGAAAGCCTTTACCTGCAGCTGCACGGTGGCAGAGATGATCATACTCTTCCTCAGGTCTCCGACTCTGAACATGAAGGTCGGCCGGCCGTTTCGAGGAGCGATGACAGCGTTTCTGGAGAAGATGAGCGTCTCTGCTCGCCGGTTGGCCTGGGCCGTCTTCATGAAGACGCAGCCCAGCATCACAGCGTTGATGATGAGCCCCAGAATGTTCTGGATGATCAACACGGTGATGGCCAGAGGACACTCCTCTGTCACCATCCTGCCGCCAAAACCGATGGTCACCTGAAGGGGGGGGGGCCACGGAGTTCACAGCTCATCAAACATCAAGACAAGCGCACCTGGATCAGTCAACCTCACACACAACCGTAGCTCTCACCTGGACCTCGATGGAGAAGAGGAAGGCGGAGGTGAAGGAGTGGATGGCGGTGACGCAGGGGACGGGGCCCGGCTCGCCTTCGGGGTCACGAGGCTCCAGGTCTCCGTGAGCGAAGGCCATGAGCCACCAGATCATAGCGAAGAGCATCCAGGAGCAGAGGAAGGCGGAGGTGAAGATGAGGAGGGAGTGCTGCCACTTCAGGTCCACCATGGTGGTGAAGACGTCCTGCAGGAACCGACCCTGAAGCAGAAGGACGCAGGTAAACACACCTGAGCAGAAGCTCTTATTACAGCTGACGACTGAAATGATGATTCACTGATGAATCAATAGTTCATGGATCATCATCTTTACTTCTCGTCTTTTACAAACAACTTCCCCAAAAGATTCAGTTTTTATTGGATAAAGTAGAAAATCCTCTCGTTGAGAAGCTGGAACCAGGAAACATTATTGATGATTAATCAATTATTAAAACCGTGTCTCCTTATCAATTGACTATGCTCTGAATAGACATGAACAGGGACAGGTGAGGTGGCGGGTTTCTGGGCTCCGGTCTACCTGCTCCCTGATGTTCTTGTGAGCCACGTTGCAGGACCCGGTCTTGGTGATGAAGCGGGCTCTCTGAGACCTGGAGCGGCTGCGGTTCGGTTGGTTCTGGTCCTCGGCCAGGCGGGTCAGCAGGAAGCCGTCCGGCAGGAGCCCCTTCCTGGCCAACATGATGCTGCTGCTGCTGCACACCTGCACACCTGTACACCTGTACACCTGCACACCTGCACACACACACACACACACACACACACACACACACACTTTTGTACGTTTGACGTGGACGTTGTCACTCTTTAAACGATGTCATGGACACACTGTCATCATCACTACAGCCACTAGATGTCACCTAGCAGCAAAACCTAACTATGATGTCATAACAACCTGCTGCACAGACGACCTGTGGGCTCCTTTCTTACAGGAGGACAGTCTCTGCATTAACTAGTCCCTTATTCTAACCTTAACCATCACAACTAACTGACTAACCTTTAACCAGTTATTGAACCTCCATGTCCCACAGGTGCAGCGGACTCCGTCTGACCCTCCATCAAACATTCAACCTCGACATTACAGCTGACTTTGTTTTGTTTGACCTTATTTACATCTGTAATTACATTTTGTTGTTGTTCATAATGAATTCTGTTTCCACAGTTTGAAAAACATGATGAAAACAACATGGATCCTCAGTCTGTGTCCTGGAGTCAGTCAGTGGGTCGTGGTTCGATTCCTGGTTTGTGGAAGTGTCCTTGAGCAGGATACTGACCTCCATGTTCCCTCTGATCAGTGTGTGAGTGGTGGAAGTCTGAGATGGAGTGTAAAGTGCTCTGAGAGGTCGATAAGACAGGAGAAGTGATGTGTAATATCAGAGTCCATTTAAACATGTTGATTTCTAATGTTCTCTGAACACGGAGGTTTGTTCTTCCAGTTGATCAGGTCACAAACGAGGTTTCGAACAGGTTTCACTGAATTAGTAAAGATAAATAAAATCACACGAACTTCATTCAGCACAAAGGATCTTTGTCTGTGTGGTTTAAGGCACGAGCAAGACGTACGCTGCCAGTGCAGCCAGTATAATTGTCTTTATGTTAAAACTATGTCACTGAATAAACAAACAAACAAACAAACAAACAAACAAATAAAAAAATAAATACATGTATTTTTTTGCAGGATCTGTCCAAAGAAACAATATGCACGTCCTATGAGTTTAACATATTATGACATTAATGGATTCTACAGAGACTCTGCTCCTCCAGGAGATTTTATATCATTTACAATAAACACATTATGAGCTGATATAATAATTTAGCATCAATACATTCACATTAAAAAAGCACAGAGAGGATCATCTCTGCTGCACTACCCGTGTTTACTCAGGATGAACGGAAGCGGATCAGCTGAGCATCAGCTGTGATTACATCAGTGTCCATACAAACACAGGTGATGTAAACAGGTGAGGTTACCTGCTCCGGAAGCTGCAGCTCTAAAATCTGCCTGATGCTTTTATTTATGTCGAAGAACAACACGACACCTACTCCATCGGTCCAACATCAGGATGTTTCAGACGTCCACACAAACACCAGGACACGAGTCAAGTTCACACACAGCACAACGCTGGGCTTCCGCTCATCACCTTCAAAATAAAAAACCAAGACGTTTTCGATAGACATGCAGCAAGAGGAAAAGAGCAAGAGGAAGAAATATGCATCAAAATCCAACTCTAACTCCAGTAAAGTTGATTGTTAAAAATAAGAAATGTTTATGAAATATGGATTAGTAGAATATAAAATTACACCAGCACATATCGGCACACTCTCCTTCCTCAGTATCTGTTTTAAGAAATGTTCAAATACGAAACTCAAACAATAAAAAAATATTTTCTAGAAACAGAAACACTGAAATAAATGAAGAGATTTTTATAGGCCAGTTCATTCATAGTAAACTGACTCAGCTCTGTACATAAATATGTTATTTTCTCTTTTTCTTTGTGGAACTGATGCAGAGTTTATTTTCTGCGTACCACAGAATCATTAACGCTTGTTTGATTGTTTGTTGTTTGTTCAAAGAAAATGCTCTTTAATGGACAGAGAAGAAGAGGGAAACCTGTCAATGATCCAGGGACACGTACATCCATCACAATATTTGACAATTGATTATTTGGTTAATTGATTCATTGTTTCAGCTCTAAGTTAAAACAAATATAACAAGAAAATTATATTTACAATCTCACTTAAACCTTCTGAGGTTTTATGAGACATTCCCACTCTTTTCAGACTTCTGAAATCTTAGCGCTTGTGTCTACTTTATTTTGAAAGCAGGCTGTGGTGGCTTCCGGTACTGTGTGATCTGAATGTGTTGAAGCTCGGTGGCTTCAGCTGCAGGATGCTGAGCAGCTTCACTCTGCAGAGGCTTCCTGCTGCCGCTAGAGGGCGGGAGAGGAGAGGTTACTCCTGAATCCCTGGAAAATACATAAATCATTTTAAATTTATTGGTTTATTCATGGAGACTCTAGTTATTTAAGATATATGTGCTTGAATTACAGGGTTAGTAATGAAAAACACCTTATAAATGTGTCAAAAGTCAATTGAATTACATTATTTTTATGGTTAACACGGGAAAGAGAAGTAATGACTTTTGGATTTAAAGTAGATTTAAGTTCTTGTATCGCTTAAAATATTCGTTATATTATAGTTCGTATTTGTTAATATTTCTCCACTGCAGTGCAGCACACCAGACACAGGTGATGCAAAGCACACTAATTAAAATATAAAATGTAAACTTTAATTAATAAATAAATAATAATTAGTAAAAAAAAAAATAATAATATAAATTATAAATACATATGATCATATTAGAAATCAAGCAAATGTTAACTAGCTGTTTAAAGTTTTGGATATTGTTAATAGCTTCTCTATTATAATATGGGAACTGTAAATTAATGTAAAAAATATAAGATTATTTTAAGGAATATTTTCCTCCAGCCTGTATTTTTGATGAAATGTGTTCACATGAAAAATGATTCACATAAATGCAAATTTCCTGTTACCATTCTTTGTTTGTTTGTTTGTTATGTTAAAGGCATTTAAACAAATTGTGTATTGTATATTGTAAATAATAATTTTATAATTTTTTTAATCATGAATTTATTTATGTATTAAGTTGTCTACATTGTGTGCTACTGCTTCCATGTGTTTATCTTTATCCTTTTCTTTAGATTCTCTATTTACTCATTAGCTTTATTTTTTAAATGCGTTTCCGAGCACCGGCCTGTAGGCGGCAGCAAGGCTCCGTCAGGGAGAATCTCCTGCTGTGAACAGACCGTAGAAGAAGAGGAGGACTGTTTGGATGGAGGAGCAGAAAAAATGGCGAACACTTACAGAAGTAAATTCATTTAAATTCAACTTCAAGTTTTCATTTGAACAGTTTTAACGATGCTTCGTTAAAGTTAATGTTTGACGTTGTAAGTATCGTTTGACAAAAGCGTTGTTTGTGTCTGTACGTGACGTCGCTTCATGTATTAAACATGTTCTCAGTGACAACAGTTGTTTTAATAACATGGTCGTTGTTTTAATCAGCAGTGGTGGAGGAGGCATTTGGCGGTAAATCCACACCACAGTCAGCCGTTAATCTGCAGCTTCGCGCGGCTCTGAGCAGCTCAGCGTGTCGGTTTTACAGTGTTTGTATTAATATTAACGTAACCAGTTATCTCCCCCGGCTTTAACCCGACTAACCAGTTATCTTTACCAGCATTAACCTGACCAACCAGTTATCTTTACCAGCATTAACCTGACTAACCAGTTATCTCCCCCAACATTAACCTGACTCTAACCAGTTATCTCCCCCAGCATTACCCAGACTCTAACCAATTATCTCTACCACTCCCAGCATTAACCTGACTCTAACCAGTTATCTCTACCAGCATTAACCTTACTCTAACCAGTTATCTCTGTAACTGCTGGATGTGGAGCGTCTGATTGCTGCGTGTTAGTCAGAGAAGAAGAAGAACAGAGGCTGAAACCTGAAATCTCACCTGAAAGAACCAAAACTAAGTTTAACAAAAGAAAAGGCATGTGTCACCATGGGAACCAGTTTGAGAGGAAGTGTGTTCAGGAGCTTTGAATAGAGACAGACATCAGACTGATGATGAGTCTCCGTCTCCACAGTGACGGACAGAGACATCAGGCTGATGATTCATCTTCGTGCCACCAACGCAGCCATCTTCACCGGGAGGAGGAACTCCGCCATGAGAGGCTGGAGGTCAGTCTGCTTCTTCTTCTACTGCTGAAAACAAATGGATTCACAAAACCACCATAAACCGTTTATAAATACACTTATAAATTCATGGATAAATGATAGAATTTGAAAAGACATTTTAAAAATGGGAATAAAAAACTGGATTCCCTCTTCAATTTCCATTTCCTTTTCCAGCTGCTTTTCCTATTAGCTAATCAATTAGCATCGTCATTTAGCTTCAAATCCATTAGCTAATAGGAAAAGGAAAAGCAGCTGGAGAAAGGAAATTAGTGTTTTATGGCGGTTTTATAAATCCGTTTTTAAACCTGAAGCATTAATTGATGGATTAATCGTTCTTTATATTAAAAAAAATTACAATTACAATTTTTATGAGATTAAAATATGAAATTAAGGAAATGCTTTATTACTTTTCCTGTGACGTCCCTGTTCCTCCATAGTTTTGTAGTTTCACCATTTATTTATTTAGTATTTTTCATTCTTTATGCTGCTCTTCTCTGCTCATCTTTTTTATTTCTTTTATAATTATATTCTGAGCTGTGGACAGATTATATTCAGATTATTAATATTCTCTGGCACATTAATCACTGTTGATGTTCTGGATGTGACATGTCATTGTAGTTAAACTCTGCTCAGTGGATCATGTTTGAACTAAAGATCAAACTCCATTTAAAAGAAATGAAAAGCCAATGTTACTGATGGAAGGCAGATTTACACCCTCTCATTACTGAGTTTGCCCTGATGTGATAAGCCAAGAACCAACCCCAGAACTCTGACCTTCACTCCACAGCTGTCTCACAGCTGCATCATGTCCCATCACATGACCGGTAACAGGCTGTGCTCTTGCTGCAGGGCCATCAGGAAGGAGATGGGGCTGCAGGGGATGATGTCAGCGCGGCAGCTGAAGAAGAAGTGGGACAACTTGAAGGAGAAGTACAGGGTGAGTGAAGTTTGATCGGAACTCCAGGTTGTTTCTGACGAAGAAACAGACACACAACATCGGGCACAGTGGAAACTGTTGTTTCTATTCCTCTGTGTCAGAGCGGCAGCCATTTTGTTTCCTGGTTGTCCATCCATCTCGTTCTGATGGACACGATGTCTCAGTAACACCTTCACTGAACTTCTTCAAATTTAGCACAAACACTCACTTGGACTTTAGGATGAACTGATTAGATTTTGATGGCTAAAGGTCAAAGGTCAAGGTAAGTGTGACCTCACAAAACACCTTTTAGCCATTACTCAAGACTTCACAGCAATTATGACAAAATTTCACACAGATGGTTGAAATGTTTTCTGTGGCTCTGGATGAACAGGGATGAAACCTGAACCAGTCTGAGTGGAGGAGGTGATTCTAGTTACTCTGGTTTTTATTGATGAAACTAACACAAACCCAAAATGTTGAACTGTTCCTTTAAGCAGTTTGTGGAGTTTTGATCGACCATGAGCTGAAACCCTGATGTTCCTTCCTGTGTAGGTGCTGAAGAACCCTCCGGAGGGCATGGAGAACTTGACCAGGCCCAGCTCGTGGCGCTGGTTCCACCTGATGGACGAGGCCATGAGCGGCCGCCTGACAGGGACCGCCAGCGTAGTGCAGCCGTCCCTGCTGGACGAGGACGAGGAACACACCTCAGACCTGCTGCCGCTCAGCCCTCCCAGCACCAGAGAGGCTTTTTCTTTTTCTGGACTCAGTGTTGTTGAAAGGGGAACCGTGGAGGAGGTGGGGGCGCTCGGGGGGGTGCTGGAGATAAGTGGGATCAAAGCAGAGAACAGAGCTGAGTCACCTGCTGCTGCAGCCGGAGGAGACAGAGAGGGTCTGAGAAGCCCTGACGTTCAGCCTGTGATGGGCCAAAGCCAGACCGCCCTGCTGTACGCCACGTTACAGCCGGACACCGGCAACACGCCGTGCTCCTCCAGAGACCTGGTCAGAGAGGCCGCCGAGGTGGACAGGAAGCTGTGTGAGCTGCAGAGGGAGAGAGAGGCTCTGGAGAGAGAGCAGGCCGAGTTCGACAGAGAGCTGATCGCTCTAGAGAGAGACAGGGAGCTGCTGAACAGAGACATGGCCGCTCTGGAGCGGGACAGGACGGCTGTGGACAGAGAGCGAGCGGCCGTGGAGAGAGAGCGAGCGTTTCTGGACCGAGACCGAGCGTTTCTGGACCGAGACCGAGCTTTTCTGGACAGAGACCGGGCTTTTCTAGAAAGAGCCACAGAGGACTTAGAGAGAGACAGAGCTCTGTTCAGGAGAGAGAGGGAGGGGGAGGCTGTGGACAGACATCACGTTGAGATGATGACGGAGAAGGAGGTGGTACTTCAGACCAGGTTCTACCAGAGTCTGATGGCCTCAGATCTGGACCCAGACCAGCTGGAGACCAGACAGAGACTGGTGTCTTTGTTCCAGAAGCTCGTTGAGAAACTGTGAGTGGAGGTTGTTTCCATGTGTGTTGTATAGAAGTGATGAAACCCTCCCGAAGATCTGGACCTGAGCCGCTTCTGGTGGTCCGGTCGTCCCTGGTGTCAATAAAGACTCAGCACTCCTGTCCCAAACTCAGGAACAGGGTTTTTATGGGGCCTCCCTTAAAACAAAGTTCTGTCTTGTTCCCAGTGATTCATTGAGTGATGCTGTGACCTACAGTCTTTTTAGCCTGTATTAGTCTCCATGTAGTCAGACTGTCTCATTACAGCAGCTGAGATCAGCTGTGATCAGCTGTGATCAGCTGAGATCAGCTGAATCAGCTGAGATCAGCTGTGATCAGCTGAATCAGCTGTGATCAGCTGAGATCAGCTGAGATCAGCTGAATCAGCTGTGATCAGCTGTGATCAACTGAGATCAGCTGAATCAGCTGTGATCAACTGTGATCAGCTGTGATCAGCTGAATCAGCTGTGATCAGCTGTGATCAGCTGAATCAGCTGAATCAACTGAGATCAGCTGTGATCAGCTGAATCAGCTGTGATCAGCTGAGATCAGCTGTGATCAGCTGTGATCAGCTGAATCAGCTGTGATCAGCTGAATCAGCTGTGATCAGCTGTCTGCAGTGTATCATGATGTTCTGTTTTACTGTGATACTGAAGGAAACTTATGGAGTTCTGCAGGTAGAAGCTTTTTTCTCTCCAGTTTCCAAACAGATTCATGGAGCTTCATTCATGATTGACATCAGAAGTAGAAAAGAAAACCTCTGACTCAAGTGAACGAGAGGGAGACTAAAAACATCCAGTGGTGATCTGTCAGCGTGAATTAAAAGGAAGATAAATCTGGTGATGTTCTGTATGTTTCTTCTTATCAAAGTGCTGTCATATATGTGATTCCTCTGAACCATTCATCATGAACACACCGTAGTTTATTCTGACTCAGTCCCACACACACCGTCCTGCTACATACTCCCTACAGCACCACATGCAGATTAATCCACTGCTGAAAATAGTCCCCAACAAATACATTATATCCTCCTGTTTGTTTGATAGAAACGACAGTGAGCAACTGTTTGAGGAAATTACTGAGACCAGAATTAAGTATGTAAAATACTGCAAAGAGATGGTGACTCAGTAACAGGAGACATTTTACTGCAGATGAAGCTGAGAGTACGTGTGTCCTTTTACTTACATTGTTGTGTTGGTACTTTTACTGAATACTCAATATGAAAACAGCAAATAGAACAAACAAACAAACAAAAACAAGACGAGAAGACGAAGAAAACAAAGAAGAATGAGTAATTAATCAAATCAAATAGAAGTGGAATATTTACAAATAAAGTTCAGAAAATGTAATTGATTAGGTGACAGTTCAAGCAGACATGCCAAACATCTGTTGTACATTATGGTATTTTTTTCTGTTTTCTGATGTTTTATTATCTAAATGATGAATTGATTAATCAGAAAAATAATTATCAGAATAATCGATAATGNTCAATATGAAAACAGCAAATAGAACAAACAAACAAACAAACAAAAACAAGACGAGAAGACAAAGAAAACAAAGAAGAATGAGTAATTAATCAAATCAAACAGAAGTGGAATATTTACAAATAAAGTTCAGAAAATGTAATTGATTAGGTGACAGTTCAAGCAGACATGCCAAACATCTGTTGTACACTATGGTATTTTTTTTCTGTTTTCTGATGTTTTATTATCTAAATGATTAATTGATTAATCAGAAAAATAATTATCAGAATAATCGATTATTGAAATAATTGGTAGTTTAAGTTCTAACTGTATTAAATGTGAAAGGTCTCTTCATAAACAGTTTGCTGGATTGTTTACGTTTACATCAAACCCCGCCCTCCCGAGCAGCAGGTCACGTGACGGAGAGCAGGCCCGGGCGGCGATATCGAACGCACCCTCCCCTCGGAGCAGAGGAAACGGGATGTAGGCTAGCTCCGGTAACGGTAACGGTTTTATTTACTGTGTTATTCGCTCCCGTGGTGATGGCATAAATGACCGTCGGACGGCGGGAGTCGGACGGAGCCAAAACCGACGGGAGCCGGTGTCGTCGAGCGGCGGGAAGCCCGTGTCCGCTTCGGTTTGTTGTTTAGGTTAGCTGCCCGTGCTAGCTCGCAGCCTGCTTCTTTTAACGGTTCACCGGGAGTTATCCTCGGAGGACACGGACAACCACCGCCTGGGGAAAGTTACGGTAACCCTCCCACCGGCGCTGCTTCACGCGAGGGGCGGAGGAGCGCTGCTGTAGGAGGAACAACGCGGGAAAGCTGCGGATGTAGTTAGCATCAGGCCTGAATACCAACACACTTCCACCCCTCCCTCCTTGCCTCCCCCCCTTCTTCCCCCCCCCCCCCCTGCTCCCCCCTCGCTCCCTCGCAGCCCCTGGACTACAGACCCTCTCCCCCATGATCACGATGGAGTCAGGCCTCAACCCGCTGCCACAGTTCCCAGAAAACTCCTATAAAAGTAAGTAACAGTGGGGTGTGTTTACATCTGTAAGCACCCATTTACAGGTGAGCAGCTGCTGACCTGCCAGTGTTGGTGACCTTTGACCCCTGCATCTGCAGTGACGGAGGAGGATGTGAAGAGGCTGATTGAGTTCAGGGCGTCCAATGAGGCTCTGTTCACCGGGAAAAGAAACTCTGCCAAGATCGCGTGGAGGTATGAGCCCGACCTCCCCCTTCTGAGACTTCATACCTGTGCAGGTACCTGTGTGAGTGAGGTTCCCTCTCAGCTCACCTGCTCTGATTCTCCTCCGTCTCCCTCAGCACCATCCTGAAAGGTCTGGGCCTGGAGGGGAAGCTGACAGCCGACCAGATCGCCAAGAAATGGGACAACCTGCGGACGAAGTACAAGGTAAGGTGTGATGCAGAGAGGCCACGCCCACAGGAAGTCACCTGGTTTAAAAAACTGTGAAACCGATCACGGTTCTCCACCTGTAAACTAACGGTGTTGTGTCAGGAGATGTTCTCCGTGTTCCTTCAGGGTTCTGTAATCCTTGTTGTGTTCTCCAGGACCTGAAGCAGCCCTACCAGGGTCAGGACAACATCGGGGGCGTGGTGGAGTCGTGGCCCTGGTTCCACATCATGGATGAAGCAATGCAGGGTCGCCTCTACAACAGCAACCTGGTGCTGAGCCCGGAGAACGCCGCCAACACCGGTCACCGTGGCAACAGCCAACCCAACCAGAACCAGGAGAACACCGACATCCTGGAGTTCCTCATCAAGACGGAGATGGAGGACACGGTGGCAGCAGAGGCGGCGGAGGACGATGGGACGGTCCACACAGAGGCTCCTCCCACCGAGGGCGTGCCCATGGGCTGGAGGAGGATGACGGAGTGCTCCTATAAGAGTGGGTGGAGCTTAGCAACGACATCATCGCTGTGTGTTTCACAGACGTGTTGTTGATGTTCTCTGCATCTGAACTCGAACCTGTTGTTCTCGTCGACAGTGACGGAGCCGGAGACGGAGCGGATGATCAAACTTCGAGCCGCCAACGAAGCGCTCTTCACCGGCAGGAAACATTCAGCCAAACCGGCCTGGAGGTGAGTTCCACACCTGCTCCAGGACTCTGCGTTAACTCGTGCTCTTCTTTAACACTGAGTCAGATTAGAGACTAAATGTTGATTCAGTCTGTGTCGGACTCACTGAAATAACAGATGAAGATACGACTTGTTTTTAAGTCTCACATCTCTGAAGTTCATAAGCTTAAATTGTTGATGTGATGTTGAGGAAGTTTCCCGGGAGCCGGGGAACGTCTCAGCTGAAGGTTTCTACTCTCAGCTCTGACCCCGAGGACAGAGGAGCACAAACACAGTAGAGTTGTAGTGGATCAGCTGTGACGCCACATCTTCAATACAAACCTTATTTTCTACAAATGTGTTTTGAAGAGAAGATGTTTCTCTGTTTGAATCATGTCCCTGTTCGTGGGGGGGGGTCAGTGTGTGACTCTGCTGCTCTTCACGTGTTGCAGAGCCATTCTATATGAACTGGGTCTTCAGGGGAAGCTGACCACGGATCAGTTGGCCAAGAAGTGGGACAACCTGAAGAGGAGATACAAGGTAGGGGCAGCTCCACTAACAACCAGCGTGATGTCAACAATAAAACACAACCCCACAGCTTTCCAAAATAAAACACAACCCCACAGCTTTCCAAAATAAAACGCGTCCAGCAGGAAGAAGAGATGAGTTCTAAAACTCAAAGGTAGTAGGGTGGACGTAGCCTGAGCTTCATGCAAGATCCAGACGGACGATCTGATTTGTTCTTTATTTTGTTTTCCTCTCATTCAGAAGATTCTGTGACGTACAGATGAAATGATGGACAGACGGAACCTGCTTCCACATGTTCCTCCGTCTCATCAGCTTCAAATGTGTTTGTCGTACTTTCTTTTGTTTGAAAACTCTTATATTATTATAAATGAATAGCTGCAGTAAAAGTTTATTCTACATCCATCACAAGTTAAAAATTTAACTTGAGCTAAAGCCTCATTTCATCAAGTGGTTCAAAACACAAAGATTCTCAGGTTCCTGTGTGTTTGTAAAAACAACGTTTGAGAAGCTGGAAACAATCAAATGATCCATTAATCAGATTGTTGCAAATTATTTTTCTGTGTGTTGCAGCTCTTTACTGTTTACTGTCTTTACTTCACTCATACCACAGTATAAAAATACTCCATTGAAGTAAAAGTACGTCCTGTACCTTCTGACATCCTCAGAATGATCTGTGTCAGATCTACTATTGATCAGATCTGATCAATGAACCCGTGACGTTCTTCAGGCTGTGCACTTGGAGTTTTTGTTGAATCAGATGTAAAACACTGAGCAGACAGGAAGTGTGAGACGTTTGGGATCAGAGCAGGAAAAGGTTCTTGAATGAGGCCTGATGTTTTTACAGGTTAGCTCCGCCCATCACCCGTCAGACGTTCCTCCGTCCTTCTGTCATTACACGACCTCCTCGCCTTGTTGTGCACAAACTACAAGAGTCAGCTGGTGATGAAATGATGGTGTAGATGTAGAATGATGTAGAAACGTGATCCAGAGTTTCCTTTCTCCTCCAGGAGCTGAAGTTTCCCGCTCGGGGGGTGGAGACGAACCCCAGCTCCTGGCCCTGGTTCTACCGAATGAACGACGCCATGGAGGGGCGCTTCGCCGGCGCCGCGCCCATCCTCACGCCTATCGTGGAGGACGAAGACGAAGACTGTGAGCCGCTGTCGCCGACGCCCAAGAAACGAGCCCGCCGGAGCCGGGGGGGGATGGCGGAGTTCCTGACGGAGTCGGAGATGGACCTGCTGGTGGATAACGAGGAGAAGAACGGGTCGTCGGCGCTGGGGGAGCTGCACCGAATGGCAGAGTTCACCTACAAGCGTAAGCAGTGATGGAGAGCTGTGTCAACCAGGAAGTGTTTCTCTCTGCTGTCACACATCTGTCCCACATCTGTCCCGTCATGAAGCAGATGTGTGACAGCAGAAACGATCATCTGTGATTTAATGAAGCATCTTCACACTGTGATTAACTGAGTTAACCAGTTCATTTGTTTCAGCCTCTTAATGTCAATTAATCAATTAATGATGTCAATTCATCCTTTGATCATCAGACACAGTGAGAAATATTCTAAAGCTCAAACATGAAAAATATTCAGTTACTGAAGTTCAGTCTGAAAAATGATTTTCTCTCTCTGCACTTTTCACCAAAATGTTTTACTATGTTTTTACAGTTGATTTAAAGCTCCATGTTTCTTCTTCTTCTGTGTTTTATTTGAAGTGTTGATCCATCAGAAGATATAAAAACCATCTCAGTGTAGTTTTACATCTCCTCTCTCAGGCTTCTCTCTGCAGCTCTAGTAACAACAGGTCGGTGAGCCAATCAGAAGAGAGGAGGCTCTGAGCCTTTTTTATTTTAAACCCTGTGATGGTTTGGTTCTTGTGTCCGTCCTCTCTCACAGTGACAGAAGAAGACACCAGGCGACTAATTGAGTTACGAGCCGCTAATGAGTCTCTGTTCACTGGGAGGAGAAACACGGCGAAACCAGCCTGGAGGTAAAGGAAATAAAAATGTTTCTTTCATTTGATTTCATCTTGGGACAGTTTGAGTTTGGAGAAACGATGGACTGAATGTTTCTCTTTACAATCAGCAGAAAACACAGTGATGAAGATTCATGAGATCAGAGCAACAGGATCCAGCTGCAAACTGAAGCTTTTAGAACTGAACATAGAGAATATTATATATTGATGGAAAATTGATGTGTGTGTTTTTAGTATTGGTGTCTTCAGGTCTCTGTATTGTTCTGTATGAGAGACAAGTTAAAGTCATTATTTAAATCTTTAATAGTTGTGTTTGGTGCTCAGGGGAATAGTGAAGGAGATGGGTCTGACCGGGAAGATAACACCTGACCAGGTGGCCAAGAAGTGGGACAACCTGAAGACCAAATTCAAGGTGAGCACCCCGAACAGCTGGTGAAATGATGCTGGTCCAGATGTGTGACGTGAAGATTCTGCAGCTGTTTTGATCGATAATAGTTTTACGTCGTTTTTGAAGCGGAAGTGAAAAATGATCTGATGGTTCCAGTTTCTCGGTGTCACGCCGGTAAAGGAACGTTCGTGGTGTGTGATTGTAATCCGTCTCTCTGCTGGTCTGCAGGACCTGAAGTTCCCTCCCCGGGGGATGGAGAACCAGACCAACCCGGCCTCGTGGCCCTGGTTCCAGCTGATGAGCGACGCCCTGGAGGGACGTCTGGCGGGGAAAGCTCCCAGAGTGACGCCCGTTTGGACCAACGAGGAGGACGGCGTCTTCGGCTCGTCCCCGCCTCCCGACAGAGACTGTCTGCTGGCGGAGAGGAGCAGCGTGTCGGAGCTGGAGAGCATGGTGGGGGGGGACAACCCCGAGGCTGATGGGAACGTCACCTACATCGACGCCAGCGGAGAAGAGTGTTCGACGCCCTCTGACCTCTCCTATAAAAGTAAGAAGTTCCTCATCGTCATTTATCTGTCTGACGCTAAAGCTCCACGTTTTCTTCTTCTGTGTTTTATTTGAAGTGTTGATCCATAAGAAAATATATTTCACCCCATTAAGCCCATAATTGTCTTTTGCGAAAGTTTCACTAAGATTGAGCATCAGCACGACCTCAGCTGATTGTACATGTCACTCATTAAAGACTGTACAGCATCACCGGGGGCAACGGCCCTTACAACTAAAAAACACACCTTGAATTTGTCCTTATTTAATAGATAAAAGCCGTAAACCAGAATAAAGAAGGAAAACTTCAGCACAGAAAGTTTCACACGTGTGTTTCTGTCTTTATCTGATCATCAGTTCTTCTTCTTCTTCTTCTTCTTCTTCTTCTTCTGAGGAGGAGGAGGAGGAGGAGGAGGAGGAGGAGTATTCAAATCAGCTCCTCATCCTCTGCAGCTCTAAATATCTGTCTCTTCAACAAATTCTGAACTACCTCCCCTCCCTCTGAGTGTCCGGTCTCTGAATCAGACGCTCTGATTGGCTGTGACAGAACCCACCGGAGCCAATAGGAATGTGAATGACGTCACTGGCAAAGATGGTGGGAGAGAATCGATCAATAAACACTCAGACAGAAAGCAGCATCTATAACTTTATCAACTATTTCAAATTCATGAAGAAAATGAATAGAAAGTCTGTTTCTGGCTTTTTTTAATATTTGTTTACTTTTGTTTTTATTCATTTTCCGATATTTCATTTTGTTTTAATGGATCTTTCTCCAAATCTTCAGGTTTATTCTTTGACTGTTTCATTTCCACCGTCGTTTATTGGATCTTATTCCTCGCTGTAAATTCATTCCCCACCTCGTGTTGTGACTTTATGAATGAAAAGAAAAAAGAAAAGAAGGCTCGTTAGAAAGCAACAGTTCTGTAGTTGAAGAAGAAGAAACGGCACGTCTCCACCTCAAACGGTGGCGGAGGAATGGCGCTCTGAAGACAACGTGAAATTTGGAAGCATGTGCGCTCCCGTGGGTCCGACCACCTCCGTGTACTTTAACATGTCCTCAGGCTTCTGTCTGTCTGCATGTCCAACTGTCTCCTGTGTCTCTGTCTCCTGTGTCTCTGTCTCCTGTGTCTCTGTCTCCTGTGTCTCTGTCTCCTGTGTCTCTGTCTCCTGTGTCTCTGTCTCCTGTGTCTCTGTCTCATGTGTCTCTATCTGTCTCATGTGTCTCTGTCTCCTGTGTCTCTGTCTCATGTGTCTCTGTCTGTCTCAAGTGTCTCTATCTGTCTCATGTGTCTCTGTCTCATTTGTCTCTGTCTGTCTCATGTGTCTCTATCTGTCTCATGTGTCTCTGTCTCCTGTGTCTCTGTCTCATGTGTCTCTGTCTGTCTCATGTGTCTCTATCTGTCTCATGTGTCTCTGTCTCATGTGTCTCTGTCTCCTGTGTCTCTGTCTGTCTCATGTGTCTCCACACCTGTGTGTCCACCACAGTGACGGACCAGGACACCAGGAGGATGATTAAACTACGAGCCTCTAACGAAGCGTTGTTCACCGGGAGGAGAAACGCCGCCAAAGCCGCCTGGAAGTAAGAAACTCTGATGTGGATGAATATTGTTCAGCAGCTGAAGCTCCTGTAGATGTCTGTCTGACTGCCCCCCCCCCCCCCCCCCCCCACAGGGCCATCCTGAAGGAGCTGGGGCTGCAGGGGAAAGTCTCCACCTACCAGATGGCAAAGAAATGGGACAATTTGAAGAGGAGATACAAGGTAACGTGTTACAGTCAACATGTCACATGATCCGTCTCTTAACTCCTCCCTCCTCTGAGCTCATTGGTTCCTGCTGAAGACGTGAACATTTAGAAACTGAGCGTTTCAGCCTGTCATTGATTTTATTGATGCCCCTGTTCTCAAATGTAGTCTTTTCTCCTCTCGCCTCCTCCTCCTTTCCTCTCCTCTCCTCTCCTCTCGCCTCCTCCTCCTCTCCTCATCCTCCTCTCCTCATCCTCCTCTCCTCTCCTCCTCCTCCTCTCCTCTCCTCCCCTCCTCCTCTCCTCATCCTCCTCTCCTCTCCTCCTCTCCTCTCCTCTCCTTTCCTCTCATGATCTTGCAACAGAAATGAAAGGAAAACATTTGGCAATGTTTTCCATGCTACCACTTGTGCCAACATGAGGGACAAGGACAGAGAATTTATTCAAAGCCATGCCCTCTTAGCATCTTTTTTTTTTTTTTAAACCACGATTCTTCAAATCCGAAATGCAAAAAGCCCTTTGAGCCCATTCCTTGTCTTCCTTGTCTTACAGCTGTACAAGGCTATGGGCGAAAGCGATGTATGTGTTTGTCTGTGTGTGTGTGTGTGTTTATGTGCCTTTTATGTACACATGGTTTGACTGTAGTATGTGTATGTTGGGTGGTCTGGAGTACAGATATTGCGAGGTACGGAGGGCTTGATGTGGTGTTCCAAAGTGAGTGGCCCGCCGAGGAAAACAATAAAGCACGAATGACAGGAACAGATGGCCCTCTTTATTGTCCCCTGAAATGCAAACACTGACTATCTTTGCTTGGTGGGTGGCANTCTCCTCCTCCTCTCCTCCTCCTCCTCTCCTCCTCCTCTCCTCCTCCTCCCCTCTCCTCCCCTCCTCCTCCCCCAGGATCTGAAGTACCCTCCTGTAGGGATGGAGAGTGTAGCAGACGGCGCCTCCTCCTGGCCGTGGTTCCACCTGATGAATGAAGCCATGGAGGGTCGCCTGGCAAACAGCGCCCCCCTCCTCACCCCTGTCACCCAGGACGACGAGCAGCACTCTGACCCCGCCCCCAGACACAGGTCCCGCCCCACCCTTCCCCCTCCGCCCGCCTCTTCCTCTGAGTACGGACAGGAGGCGTTCTGCGACGGCGCCGAGCAGAGCCAGCGCAGCTCGGAGGCGTGCGACGGGCCGCTGGGGGGGCTGGACAGGGAGTGGGAGATGGTGGAGCGGGAGAGGACGGCGCTGGAGCGGGAGAGGGAGATGGTGGAGAGAGACAGGGCGGCGGTGGAGAGAGAGCGGGCGGCGGTGCAGGCGGAGCGGCTGTGGTTGGAGCGGGAGCGGGCGGCGGTGGAACGGGACAGAGCCATGCTGGAGCAGGAGAGGGCGGGGCTTAGCAGAGAGAGGGAGGTCCTGGACCAGAGAGCGCTGATGCTGAACTCTGTGGGACACTCCGGACACCTCAACGCACTCATGTAGACCATGATGCTCTGGGGGCGTAGACCGTCCCTGTAGAGGCGTCTCTGGTGGTCTGTGGGGGGGGGGGTCTGGACCCGATGACCGATCACAGGAACCGTAGACCTGAGCGCCACGGAGACACGTGGCTGCCGGTCGTCCACTCAGAGCTGGGGACGGACAGAGGACGGACCTCGCCGGGTGACTGGTCCTGGAGACCCGAGCCACCCGGGGGGTCGGCCATCTTCACGGGGGGGGCTGCACACGCCGTAGTGTCACGACCTCCATCATGTGCGATGGTTCAGATCCGTCATGTTTCAGTCAGAGTTTCCTGCTGAGTCCCACCCGGAGCTTTCAGCTTGTTTTCTTCGGGGGGGGGGGGGGGGGGGGGGGCAGAGGCTGTGTCCAGTTTCTTGATATTCACTTTAATCAATATGTGTGATCAGTTCAAACATCACAATCATCCTGCTCCAAAACAACAGACAAGAAAAATAAACTGTAAATACAGAGTGTGACACGGGCGGAGGGGGCGTGGCCTCTTCTCTTGCGTATATAAGAAGTTCTTCATGAGAAATAAATAAACTAGAGAGAGAGAGACATTAAAAACATTTGAAACACTAAAGTAGAGTCACTTCCTGGTGCTTGTCTCCCTCCTCCACTCAGACTAGTTTCAGGTCACATCCTGTTTCCTGTTTGAGTCCGGTGACGCCGCCATCACGTGTTTTTGCCGCTGATATCGATACCAATCATTTTTCATCAACATTACAGACGCCGTTCGTTACGTCTCTCACATGTTGTTTGTTTTGGCGTCCTGTCGGTGGGAGGCGGGGCTACACAGCTCAGCCGCAGACACCAGAGTATTGACTACAGCTGATCGGTGACTACAAGCATTAATTTAACGATCATGTGTTTTTAATGAAAATCGGCCGATCGATCGAGACATAGAATATTAATCCTTGGTGTGAAACTGTGTGAAGTCTTGAGTAATGGTGTGGTGAGGTCACACTGACCTCCGCCTTTGACCTTTGACCTTAAATCCCCAAAGTCTAATCAGTTCATCCTTGAGTCCAGGTGAATATTTTTACCAAATCTGAAGAAGTTCCTTCCAGGTGTCACTGAGATACCTGAAAACAACATGGCCGCCGCTCTGACTGTCTGCAGCGAGGAATAAAAAACTAGAAAATCAATGAGACGTCGATGTTACGTCAAGAATAAATCCGTGTTTGGGAAACTCAGACTTTCACAATATTCTGTAGAAGACACTGAGTCACGAGGCCGAACGTCTGTTTTCCAATAGTCGATCAATTCTGTGTCTTTGAACCTCGTCGTTCAGTCTGATCTTTCCAGACACTTCCTGTCACAGCTTTAACCCCTCCCCCTCCAGGAGCTCCTCCTCCATCCTCTCAGTTACAGTCTGTGAAACACTGAACGCTTCATGAATGTGCTGCAGCTGACGACCTGTTCTCCATCTGATGGTTCACCTTCCTGATGTTTTTACTCCAGCGGATCAATGACTCTGTTGCATGATGTCACACCTGGTTTGTATTTTTTTACCTGTATGTGGACGCTTGTTTTACATCTGCTGTGTGCTGGGGGCTGAGCTGTGGTAAAACCCAGGTGACCTACACTCAGTACTGTACCTGAACGCACCGACCCACGCTCTGAAGCTGCCACGCTTTCACTGCACTTCCTGTGTAATATGAATGTTTCCGCCCGGTGGAGGTGTCCAGGTGTAGAGCAGGTCTCATCAATAATCCATAATTCAGTTCTAATTTCAAAACCAAAAAACCTAAATGTGTTTTTTGTTTTAAAACCAAAACGGAAAAAAAAACAGAATCACAAAATGAAATCAATCAAAATGGTCCGATTTGTTTTTAATCATTTCTTTTTTTAACCAAAAGTTGAATTCACGAGGTTTTATATGATTTTAATTTCTAACTGAAAAACAAAATCTCATGATGTATTTGTTTTTTTGTTTCCAAACAAAAAAAGGTCAAATTTAGTTTTTTACAAATGAATGTTGTCATGTCTCATTCAGCAGCTCGGCGGACAGACGGGGACAGGAAGTGAAGTGTCAAAGAGTCAAAATAAAAGGTTTTTGGTTTCAAACTAAATATTGATGAAAGGAATCGTCAGAAAACCAAACACGGATCATTTTGATCAGTTTTTTGTTTTTTTCGGTTTCAGTTTTAAAACTACAGAAGAAGATTAGGGACATGATGGTTTTCCATTTTTGATTTTTTTTTTAATAGTAAAAAAAACATTTTCCACATCAGGGCCACATGTGAATGTGAAATCACATCTCATACATGTATTACAAATCCTCTTCCATATATTACAAATACCAGATTCACAGTTTTTAAATTCCACATGAAGGACGGATTATCTGATGAGACCCAGACGCTGCAGTCAGAGACGTGGACGGCCAATCAGAGCAGAGCAGGTTATAAAACCGACCAATAGGTGGAGAGGATAAAATGAATGTTTTACACTTCAGCTCAGCAAATGTGGAGACGAGACTGAACTCAGCACAAAACAATTCAAATGGATAAAACTTTATTTCACTGTCGATCTGTGAACACTGACTCGCTCAACCTCTCTCTCTCTCTCTCCCTCTCTCTGTCTCTCTCTCCCTCTCTCTCTCCCTGTCTCTCTCCCTCCCTCTCTCTCTCCCTCTCTCTCCCTCCCTCTCTCTCTCCCTCTCTCTCTCTCCCTCCCTCTCTCTCTCTCTCTCCCTCCCTCTCTCTCTCTCAGACAGGAGGGACAGATTCTGAAACCTGTTTTGAATGTGGAGTTTTTGACATTTCCATATGAAAACCACCTGTAGGCTTCTTTCTCTCTCTCACACACACAAGGTGAAAACACGCTCTTCCTGTCGCTCAGCTGAAGAACTGGTTGTATCTGAGCCTGGAGGTGAAGACCAGTGTTCCCAGTAAGCCACCAGTACATGAAACTGATGTTCCAGTGTTTCCCACACAGGATCTCACCTCATCACGACTTTCTCATTTTTCTATTTATTCACAAAATATGTTTTTGTATTATTTCCTTTTTTATAAAAACCTGGTGATGTTTCCAGATGTTTCCATGTTCCTCAGACTCTTCAAAACATCTGGATAAAAAATATAAAAAGCCTTTTCAACATGTTTCTGATCCAGAGGTGGAACAGACGACACTTTATCTTCAGTTGTTTTATATTTGATATTTTCTTGTGTCACGTTCATTCTCCTGGATCAGGAAATACTAGTGAGAATAATATTGATCATATAAATATTAGCAGTTTAAACAACAGACGATCGCTGCAGTAAAACAATAAAACATGAAGAACAGATGTGTCGTTAACAAACAGCTGGTGATTGGTTCAGTGATCAGACAGGAAGCTGAGTGAAGAGGTTTCAGACTGATCCACATCTGGACACATCTGGACCTGCAGGTGTCAGAGTCCTCCGATGTTCTCTGAAGTCGTCGGTGCAAAGAAGCTGTTTTACTAATCGATTAATCGTCATGTTTCGACAATAAAGACCAAAAATTCTTCAGTTTCAGCTTGTCGTCGTGACGATCAGCTGCTGGTTCACACACAAGGTTTAAAGCTGCACTGACTCCAAACCAGGAAGTTGTTGCTCCACATCAATTAATTTACCAATAAACCCTCAGATTAATCAATAGTGAGAACGATCATTATTATATAATTATACATTATTATTATTATATAAAATCATAGTTTTCTCTGCCTTTGTTCACATGACTGAGCTGTCACCCCCTTGAGTGATGAAGACCATGAGATATGGTTGAAAGCTCCAGAAGCTGCAGCCATTAGTTTTCAGCCTCTTAAATATGAAGAATTCATGCTTTTCTGTTTTATATCAAATTAAACTAAATATCTTTTTTATTATAGTTTTATTGACTGAACGATTAATCAAAAATGAAATGAATCATCAGTTGCAGCGCTGAATAAATTCTCCTGTGGGAAACACTGACTTTAACATACCTGGTTCTGAAGATGGACTCGGGCTCAGAAGCTCCTCCCCCTCTCTGCTGGAAGCCTTAACACCTGAATCTTTGACTCTGAGCGTGTCACAAACATCACGTCTGTGTGGAACAATTTATTTACATGATGATGATGATGATGATGATGATTGTCTTCAACCAAAGTTCATCTGTTTGTTTGTTTGTTGATATTTTTAAAGAAGGACCTGATGACATGATCGTGTTGTAGCCTTCAATAAACGGACCAGAGCTTCAACCTGCTGCTGAAACACCGACCAGCTTCATGTGCATGAAAACAAAAGCTTCATGTTGTTTCAACAAGTGTCCTGATCACTGAGGGACTATTTCCAGCAGCGGATTAATCCACATCTGGTGCTCCAGTGAGTGTTTGGGGCAGCAGGACAGTGTGTGTGTGTGTGTGTGTGTGTGTGTGTGTGTGTGTGTGTGTGTGTTAAATTGAGATAATTAAAGTCTGTTAATTGAAGGGCTGATTTAAAGCCTCAGATCATCAGTTGACTGCAGAATGTGCTCAGGCCTGTTCACAAACCTGTGATCATGAATATAAGTAGTAAACTGAATTATAATTGAAAACATGCGACACACCCACCCACCATCATCAGGCCTGAACCAGTTTCACTCGTCTCTGACTCGCCTGCATCAGAGGCTTCACTGTGTTTCTAATATTTCAAACCACTAATTAAATAAATCAAGACGAAGTAACATTTTCTGTAGGAACCCTCTGGAGTCTGTGAACAGGCTTTTATCAACAGTTACATAACTTTATACATCATGTAGAGACAAGCCGAGGAAATCATTTCAAAGTGCCGATGTGAGACACGATCACAGACACTGATTGTTCATATTTTACATGATTTTTTAAATTTTAGTGAAAAAAGCACAAAAAACGAGTTGGAATAAAATCCCTTGACGTGTCAACAGGCTGTATTATAGTTTCATTTCTTACAGATTTCTGCTGTATTAGTGTACAAATAGTAAAAACAATCATTTTTAAGCCGTTCTATAATATTTTGATTGATTATGACTAAACATATGAACATGTGTTATATCATATATCTTGGGTTCCTGGCAGTTTATAATTTGTCGTACAGCGGAGTTTGTGTTTGGGACGGTTTAAAATGTGACGCACAAAGACAGAAATGAATGCATTTAAATGACTGAAATGGACTCCAGAGGGTTCATTCATTTACTGTGCACTTTGTATTTTTTACTGCTCTACATTTTTTCAGTTTATTTATTCATTTGATTGGGACGATGCAATTTAACATAGTTTCAAAACAAGGCATGAAACTAATGTGTTGCACAAGGAGTTTATGGCTGTTAGCTTGCTTAGCTTAGCTAGCTTTATAGCTATTGCTAATTCTCCACTCCTGTCCATAGTTGGGCTTTTACATGTATAATGTCATTAAAACAGTCAATATCAAAACAGTACAGTGATAATATCCTACAATTAACTAAAAATAAACAAATGTTCAGTCTGAAAAGAGACGACAACAACAACAAGCTACAAACAGTCAAAGAAAGGCAATTAACAACAGATAATTAGCTAGAAATGAGAACAGCTCTAGTTCAGTTTTAGCACTGAATCTTTGTTGTAAAGGAATTTATCTGACAACTTTAGTTAATTTGCAGATTTAGATTATCACTACAAAATGTAATCAATTAATAAATGATGATTTATTATTAAAGATAAAACTTTATTGAACCCTAACGGGAAGTTCACAAACCTGCTGACAGTCTGTAAAGTAATTACAGCTCCACCTTCACCTGCAGCAACAAAAGTGATGAAAACATTAATGCATCAATAATTATATCTTTATAACATAATAGATATTACTCTCATTATCAGTAATTTTACTTTTGGTACTTTAAGTATTTCTTGATGCTACTACTTTTGTACTTAAGTAAATTATTGACATCTGAGTCTAAAGAAAGTAAAATAAAAAAAGTTTTCAGAACACGTTTCAGTACATGAACATTTAAGCATTTCCTGCAGTAAGTGAACGCATCACTGTTACCATCACATTATGTAAAACAGTAAGTTTGCACTGACAAACTCATGATACGATGACACGATGATGCTTTCGAAAATAAAGGCCAGCAACCACAGAAACAGTCAACATTCCATGGTGTTCCACAGGGTCCGGTTCTAGGTCCTCTGTTGTTTAACCTTTATATCATCATTCAATAACACAACGTTCAATACCATAATTATACAGATGCGTTATTATTTTTTACTTTCGCAAAGACACAGGAAGTAAGATTTCCATCTTGATTCCTTTTCAAAGTCGACCTTAGTTTCCACAAACATATAAACATTGTTTGAAAATAATGTGCAAAGCTTTGTGATTTATTGATCGCTACTAGTGCAGCAGATCACTGTAATAATCTTTCAAATGTGTTTTTCCCTCTAAGGCCATTAATTTGAAAAATCCCATTAGCCACTTGAAGTTTCGAAAGGCCGCCATTTTCCAAGATGGCCGCCAGGAAACACATAATTTACCAGAGTTTTACCCATTGGACAGATATTTTTTTACTTTGAGGACGTCTACTTCACAATTCTTAATGTCAATGAAATATTATTTTAAACAATTGAAACTATTTTTATCAAGGTTTTTGGCATGTTCATCAGCACTTTTAATTTGTAAAATGTAGGTAAACTGTGAAGGTTTAATTTTTTACAGTGAACTAAATTTCACCCTCTACGTTGTTAAAATGTTTGATTTGACACCTGGGTGAATTTATTGCAAAAAAAAATGTAATTTCTTTGCCAGAAATGTCAGCCATCTTGGAAATGATGTCCATCTTGAATTTTTTGGAACGTGTTTTATCAAAAGAGTAAAACCCAAGGAGAGTGTTTCACCAAGTTTAGTACTTATTTCCACATTTAAAAGATTTCTCTTTATCTGCCCCCCCAGAAAAGAATGATATTCAATACACAATGGTGGAAGTGATAATAGGCTCTAGTACAGTCAAAAAAAATAAATAAAAATTTGGAGAAAGATAAATTAAAACAAAATAAATATTGGAAAGTAAATAAAAAACAAGGTAAGGAGACCAGTCAAGCAAAGGTCAAGATATAGACTTTCAGTGGCCTTTCTATTCATTTTCTCCATGAACTTGGCAAAATTGTAAATAAAAACATTATAAGAGGGAGTACTGCAAGAATGAATATAATATTTACCCGAAATAATAACAAGGTTAACAATATCTGAAGTGTCATTATCCAAGTTGTCCGACATCATTACAGGTGAATGTCCTCTGGGTGTGAAACCAGTCAGTTCGATGTTGTGGTCACTTCCTTTCATTCACTTCATGATGTTATCAGCAGGTGAGGCTCGTGGACCCCTCCCGGCTGCAGCGGAGTGGCTGTAACCCGGCGATCAGGCCGCAGGAGGAGGAACAGGATCTACTTGTTTTGTCCTGGCGGGCAGTTCCGGGAGCCAACGCCCGGCGGGGTTAGTGTCGGCGGGGCCAGTGTGTGCGCAGGTGAGATTCACACATTTTACTTCGAGTCTTTCCTCTCGGGTTCAGGCTGAATTCAGACAAACAGCTGTCTGTCACCAGAGGACACACAGACAGGTTTGATTCAGACTCACCTGCACAGGTGTCTGCGCTTTTTAAGGTAGGAAGTGTTTCACTTTACTATTGTTTTCAGATGTAATTTTGACGTAAGATCTAAACGTAGGAATTGGTTTTATGTGTTTATGTTGCTACTAGATTCATTAATTAATTAGTCCCTCGACAGATAATTAACCAGCAGCTACTCTGATCATTGATTCATCATTTCTGTCATTGTCCAGCAAATATTTGCATGAGAAGCTGCTGCTTCTCGGTTTTTAACAAACTAATTTAATCTCTTTCAGGTTTAGTTCTTTGATTTTCTTACATTTAAAAAAAGACAAAATAAAAAAGATTTTCTTTTTCAGTGTAAAATGTTTGCAGGGATGAAGAGAAAAAAGGAGAAAAGTACAAAAGGAGAGGAAATTTTAAAAAGAATATTCAAGTGTGAGAAAATGTAAATTTATGAATAATGAAAATTTAGAGTCACAGTCTGTTGCTGCTGCTGTTTGAGAAAACTATGGACTTCATGACTGAAACCAGAGTGTGACTCAGAGAGAGGAGCTTTAATAATAGTTAATAACAATAATGATAAAATGATTGAACATCTTTTATCTTTTTCTTCAACAGGAAAAACAAAAAAATGACACGACAACAAAACATCAACCAAAGTAGGTTTTCATTCCATTAGAGAGTGTGTGTGTGTGTGTGTGTGTGTGTGTGTGTGTGTGTGTGTGTGTGTGTCTTTTATTGCTGTGGTTACATAACCTGGGTGTCACAGATGGTTCCACCCAGGACCTGTTTCTCTGCCTCCGCTCACTTTTATTCACTGTAACAGTTGGAGGATGACTCCGCCCACCAGGAAATTAGATATTTAAATGAGATTTAAGAGTCCCGTCTCAGTCTTCAGTTTATTAGGAACAGCAGTTAAACTGCCACAGTCCTGTAATAATCAGTCAGTTTGTGATGACGCTGGTTCACAGGTGTCCGTTCACCACTTCTCTTTTTTTTTGGCCTGAAGTGAGAAAACGATCCGTTAAAGAAACAGAAACTTGTCTGAAACATTACGTCACACAGAGGGACAGAGGTTGTGACGATCAGCACGGCTGTGATTGGCTCAGAGGGAAAGCGTGATGATCTTCAGAACAACATCACGACCTCAGTGTGATTTTATTTCATTCACCAGTTCGACCAGCGCCATGTTAGTTCAATAAGTGTTTGTTTATTCCATCATTTATTTAACTACGTCAACACAAATCGTTCCTCATCTGCGCTGGTACTGGACTGTTGCTAAGCGACCTGACCTGCACAGTGCACACTAGTTTGTCTACACGCTACCTCAGGTGTGCGCTGTGAAGAGTGGAGTGATACATGGAGTTAAAAGTCCCAGTGCCTCTGGGATTGTTGTATATCCTATATATAGATCTCTCTCTCTCTATATATAGATATATCTATATATATATAGATATATCTATATCTATATATATATCTATATATCTATATATATATAGAGAGAGATCTATATATAGATCTCACTCTATATAGATCTATATATATAGATATAGATCTATATCTCATCAGTCTGACGGTGGAACTGGAGTCGACCTGCAGCTCTTCATTGATGGTCTGTCTGTGTCTCAGAGGTTTTACTGGCTCTGCTGGTGCTGGTGCCTCTCCTGGTTGTTATCATCACCTTCATTCTGCCGGATGACAGCATCACATTCATAGGTAGGAACATGGACAACACTCACAGCTCTGCCTTCTATCGTCTCATTCATCTGTTGTTTTAATATGTGTGGAAACTGTACGTGATCATTTCAATGACAGAAAGTTATTGAACCTGCTGTGACTCAGTTCAGCTGCCGACATGTTTATCTGGCTTTATTTATACTAATTATTGAACTTGTTTATTTGACTCTGGTTCAGTGGTAAATCACTGAATTGTATTTTCAGACACTGATTAAGTTGAATATAATAATGCTGTCAGGTAGACTGCAGTGTAAACACACACACAGTATATGCCCATATATCAAGAGTGACGTTGCCGTACTGTAAGTTATAAGGCAATATTTTCTTATCACATATATACATCCTCTGGATATATGAAGATATAAGTTTAAAACATATGAAACACATGGTAAGATGTGTATATGTAGATAAATTAAAAAATCTAATCTAATCTAATCTATCTATGTTGTGACCATATACAGTCTGTCCATCCACTGTATGTTAACAATATATATTTCATTTATGCAAGTTTATTATAAAAACATATATCAACATATACTGATGGGCTTTGGGATGGATGTATATTTACACATCTGTCTACGATATAATCCTACATACATAAACATACATGTTTATACTGTATGTCAATATATGAAATGTCTCCAAATCTAACAGTTTATAAATAATTCATGTTTTTATTTTAAGTAAAACTGTTTGTTTGATCCAACAAATGGTCATGGACAGTCTCTGTGTTTGTGGGATGTGATAAACCTCCACACCTGCACATGTGATGTCAGACCAGTGAACACCTGTCACTCAAAAACACCACAGGTGAGGGGGGCGGAGCCTGTCTTTAGCAGATACCCACCTGATCGAACAGAGCAAGTGGATTGTGCTGCAGGAGTATTTCCTGTCGACGGTGTGACGGTGAATGTGTCCCTGTTGGAACCTGTTGTAAGTGACATGGGTTCCTTCCTGCAGGTGTCTGTAACACCTGTCACTTTAACTTCTCTGTGACTTTCCAGCTGAATGGCGCCGTGATCTTTCTGAAGGCTTTGGCAGATCCAGACAGATCTCCTCTTCCAAACCATCAGGTCAGTGATCCGTTCAACCTGATCAGGATGAATCAGTGACGTGGATCTGATGGATCTGATGGATCTGATGGATCTGATGGATCGTTGTTCTTCCCTCTGCAGGCGGCTCGTGTTCCTCACAGAAACGCTGCCCAGGCGATCACATCAGTTTCTTCATCCACAGTGGAGCCGCCAACGTCATGGCTCCAAAGATCTGCATCCAGAACAAGATGTGGGTGTTTCCTCCCGAGAGATTCCTTCTCTCATTCTTCATTTCCTGCTTTTATCCAACCTCACAAATCAAACTTCACATTTCTGTCCACAGGCCTTTAGGATGTAGTTTTATACACAAGCTTTTCTGCCTGTTCCTTTGTTTGGAAATGACATTTAATGTGAACCGTGTACAATGATAAATTACTGAGGATTGTTGATTATCTAGGTAAGAAACAGGTTTTGTTTTGTTTTGTTTTTTGTCTGTTTGTTTGTTTGTCTTTCCCTGATGTGGTAGCATGTAGCCTGTAGCATGTAGCCTGTAGCATGTAGCATGTAGCCTGTAGCATGTAGCCTGTAGCATGTAGCATGTAGCCTCTGTCCTGTCCTGTCTCCTCCTGCAGAACTCGTTATGACGCATTAATATAAACGATGTCAGCTGATATGTGCAACGTATCAAACTCTTCTCAGGGTCCTTGGATCAGTGATAAACAACGCTGGATATGGAATAAACATTGTTGTACTAAATGGTGAGTGTGCATCACTCTGACTTTTATTAATGAATGATGAAGCTGCTGCAGGTTCATTGGTCAGTCTGTGTCTCTGACAGGTAAAACAGGGGAAGTCATAAAGATCGGTCACTTCGACATGTACTTCGGGGGTGAGTGACATCAGATATTGATCGGATGATTTGAGCCGATAACGATTGAAGGTTTAAAAACTGTTTGTGTTTCAGAGGTGAAACCTCTCCTGGAACTCCTGAAGAGCATCGAGAACGGTTCTATTGTCCTGATGGCGTCTTATGACGACCCCTCGACAAAGTAAATGTCTCTCTCTGCTCCAACATCTACTGTCTCATCTACTGTCACAGACTGAGCTGTTATCAATCTGTTTTGAATTCGACAGGTTAAATGAAGATGTGAGGAAGCTGATTGCTGAGCTGGGAAGCTCTGAGATCAAGTCCCTGGGCTTCAGAGATAACTGGGTGTTTGTCGGGGGGAAAGGAGCAGCAGTGAAGAGCAACTTTGAGAAGGTAACAACTGTCAGCTGAGGTGGCCTGTAATGATTTTAACCCCAAATAGACTCGTTACCATGGTCACAAACATAAGAGATAATCAGGATGAATTACATGGAAATTTCCATTGAAGCTTTAATGTAATGCTGCAGTGTCTTAGACGGAAATAATTCACCTTATAAACGATTTAACATCCGGGAAAAAGGAGAAAGAAGAAGCTTGTGTATATTTTACTTCATGGCACAGTCTGGGAAACGTGGTTTTCATCCACTTAAAGAGGAATTTAAAGGAATAGTTCAATATTTTAGAGTGAGATGGTGCCAGTTCCCTGAAATGTAAAAAACCATTAGATAAAAAACAAACAAACAAACACAAATCAATCAATAGATTGATTAATCGACTAATAATGTCATTAAAAGGTTATCTGCTTTCTTGTTGATGTTGTTTGGCTTGAGTAGGAATCAGTTGTTGTTGTTGTTTGTTTTCAGATCATGAAGAACGACAACGCCAAGAATAAATACGACAACTGGCCCGAGCTCATCGAACTGCAAGGATGCATCCCGAAGTACCTGGAGTGACCCGGAGTGACCCGGAGTGACCCGGAGTGACCTGGGGTGACCCGGAGTGACCCAGAGTGACCTGGGGTGACCTGGGGTGACCCGGGGTGACCCGGAGTGACCTACTGCGTCCTGAAACCAGGAACCACACCAGGAACACTCAGCAGGGGAAACACACCTGGGAACAGGTGATATGATGAGACTTTGTTGAAAGTAGAATGTGGACGAAGCATGAAAACCTGTTAGAGAACTACAGTCTGCTGTGTAAATTACTGGATGATATAATGGAAGTGTTACTGAGCCGGCTGAATGCAGACACAGGTAAATGTTTCCTCTCCTTGTCCAGGTGTTACAGTTCTATTGGTCAATGACACTCCGGAGAACGTGCACGTTACGTCTGAAAGAATGTCAAGGTTAGATGGAAATGTTAGATTAGTTGGGTGGAGCTGTTCTTTGGAAAATAAACCGGAATCATGTTGACTGTTCTCTTCTGTCCGAGTCTGGATACATGTACTGTAATTCTATGACGTATGTATGACTAAATGTTTTTAATTGCTGTAGTAAAGTAATAAAGGGATTTTTAAATGCTTCTGCACAGTTTACAAGTTTGTCAGCAGGTTATTTTAGCATGTATCAGTGACACCTGTCTGACCAGGTGGACAGGTGAAGCTGCTGCTGTTGAATTATAAAGACAATGATGGAGAATTATCAGTTATTTTTTACTAGATATCCAAAATGCACACGTGTAAATCAAATGAAAAACAGATTTTTCTCAACAATTATCAATGAACTGAACCACTTCATAATAAAAACATTAGCAATAATCAATGCGTAATCGATATTTAGACAAAATTCATCAGGAATAGAGGATTTTGAGATGGTCATTTTTAAAAAATGTTCATCATATATTGATTTAAAGGGATATTAAATTGAATATTATGCTTATATTAAACATAATGACCCTGAAAAATCAGATATAGATTCAACACTTTCAGAGTCTGAAATGTGAATATTTGTTGGTTTTCTTTGCCATCCATGATCTCTAATTGAATATCTTTGGGTATTGAGCTGTTTAGCATACACACCTACATACTCAACACTTAGAACAAAACAAAATGAGATCCTTCAGAAAACCTATTTTTATTTTATTTTATTTTTTGCATTACTGTGTAAAATCATAATTTTCATGATACACTGTTTGGGTGGTTAAATCTACAACATTGCATCATGATTTAATAATAAACTGATCATATGTTTTGTCTGTAAAACCTGAATGTGAAGACTAACTGTGGCTGTCAGACTGAAACACTTTATACAATCATCAAACATCATATAATCCAATGTGAGAGCTGTTGATTTTCCTCGTTGTAAAAGCTGCTGTTCGGCCACCGTCTAAATAAATCCCTGTTACGTTGACGTCTTTATATTTTTGCAGCGTTAAAATCAAACATCTTTCACTCTCATGTTGTCAATATTATAATTTTCATTTCACTTCAACGGATTCTACAGAGGAACTCATCTGTTTCCACCCGAGCACTTTTCTGAAAGGACAGTAAACCTCATATCTGATTGGCTACACCAACCGCCAATGAACATAAAGGAGAAGAGAGAAGACGATCCCGATTGGCTGATCCGGTGCGTCAAGCGTGACGAAAACTGAAAGGAAGAAGAAGCTGATTGGCCGGACGAGTAAACGGAGTCATAATGGCGGAGTTTTGTTTGTCGAATTTGTCGTAATGTGCTTTGTTTTATTAAGTCTGAAATAAACTTTATTAAAACTTGTCTGTTTTATGTGGACGGTTCTAAAATGGCGACGTTAGTTCTGGACAACGGAGCCTATACGGCGAAAATAGGATACAGTCAGGAGAAAGTAAGGTAAGCTAGCTCACGTTAACACGGGAGCTAACGTTACTGCTAACATCATCATCATCATCAGAACAGTAATAATGATCACAGTAGATGATATAACCCCCAGCTGTGATGTTATACATAACATTCAGTAACGCAGAAGATTTAACGCCAAACTCGTTTAATGATTTCTCTGCTTCTTGGTGAACAAGGTCCCTGAAGAACATGTTTTAAGACCAAATATAAGACATCAGGCCTCAAACTACAATTCAAGTTTAATGAATATACCAAATAATGAAAAGATACAATCTGCTTAGTTTTGAGAGATTTATTTTTTCTCAAATTGGTTGATGAATGTATCAACAGTTTAGCCCCAGAGTCTCTGCAGATGTGTCCAAAGACGCGACAGTAACAGAGGAACTGTGCTGAAAGGCAACTTTAAAATAAATCAGCTTTCTCCATAAAGGTCTGTCTCTGCAACACATCACCAGGTTAAATCAAATTAACCCCAGATATAAATTCCTTTACAACAAAGTTCTGCTAAAAGCTAACCGGAGCTGAACCCATTTCTAGCTAATTGTCTCTATTTGTAGCTTGTTGTTGTTGTTGTTGTTGTCGTCTCTTTTCAGACTGAACATCTGTTTATTATTAGTTAATTGTAGGATATTATCACTTGTGTTGTTATTGCTATTGACTGTTTTAATGACATCATACATGAAAAAGCTCAACTAAGGAGAGAAGTCGAGAATTAGAAACAGCTATAAACTCTTTGTACAACACATTAGTTTCATGCTTTGTTTTGAAACTATGTTGAATTGCATCGTCCCTATTGAATAAATGAATTAACTAAAACTACACTGTGATGCCAGTAGCATTTTGTTGAGTTGCATCCTGACATTTAGGGTTATGGCGTGAAAAAATACAACTTAACAGGTCTTAAAAAGTCCTGCATTTACCTGGTGATTACTGCAGAAACCTGTGTAACCTTCTTTCTCTCTTTCTCTCTCAGCGTCATCCCAAACTGCCAGTTTCGCTCCAAGACGTCCAGATTAAAAACCTTCACTGCCAATCAGCTCGATGAGATCAAAGATCCTTCAGGTCTCTTCTACATCCTCCCCTTCCAGAAGGTGAGAGAGTTTAGTCACATGTAGACTGCAGCTTTACAACACCAGCTCACATCTGGTCTGGACTCCTGATCATTTCTTCTCTGTTGCTCCATGTTCTCAGGGTTATCTGGTCAACTGGGACGTCCAGAGGAAAGTGTGGGATCACCTGTTTGGAAAAGAGATGTTTAAGGTGTTTTAATTAGCTTCATTTTTGTTCAGTGTCTTTTCTTCACGAAGGCGTCTACTAATCTAACCTGATCTCTTCGCCCTCCCCTCTGCTGATGTTGGTGTTCTCTGGGTCCAGGTGGAATTTGCAGACACCAGCATCATCATCACGGAGCCGTACTTCAACTTCACCTCCATTCAGGAGTCGATGAACGAGATCCTGTTCGAGGAGTACCAGTTCCAGTCGGCTCTCAGGACAAACAGTGAGTCAAAATATTCATCATTCATTCATTCATTCAGTGGATTCTCTCTCAGCTGGAAATGAGTTCAGACATCCAAGAGAGGCAAAAACATTCTCCTCAGTCTCTTCAGATCTGAGAAGTTGCTCTGAGGTCCACGATGTGCTCACTGCAGTGTTCTTAAGAGAAATAAAAGAAGCGTAAAAGTAAAAAGCACAATAAGAAAACAGAATAAAACACAGATTATAAAATAGATAATATCTCATTAAAGTGCAAGATTAAAGATTAAATGAAGGCAATACACACAGCACAACACACACAGCAGAATTCAGACATTCCCCTGAACTTCAATGTAAAAGGACGTATTATTGGAGCCACCTGTGGGTTGTTAATATCTTAAAATGCTCATGTGGTTTAACACACAGTTCGTGGGGAAGACACAGTGACAGTTAAAGATTTGGACTCAGGATGTAAGTAAGTTTCTGGTCTAGGCTTTCGCAGTGTTAGCGGTTGTCAGATATACGTTTTCTCTGTGTTTAATCTGGTCTGTGTCTGTGTTCATGCAGCCGGCTCGCTCAGCGCTCATCACTACTTCCACACCAAACCGTCAGAGCTCTGCTGTCTGGTGGTCGACAGCGGATTCTCCTTCACACACATCTCCCCTTACTGCCGCAGCAAGAAAATGAAGGAGGGCGTCCGCCGGTCAGAGAGCAGCAGCAGCATCATTCACCTCCAACCTGCCGTGATGACAACAACATGTTCATGGGCTGTTGTTTGTTTTTGTTTATTTTCAGGATCAATGTAGGAGGGAAGCTACTGACCAATCACCTGAAGGAGATCATTTCATATCGGTGAATCCACCTCACTCAGACTGGGGCTTCTGTCGCTTCTACCTGGTGTTTGGTTCGACCTCAGATTGTAGAACAGTCACTGGTGCAAAGTAACAGCACATTTACTCAAGTACTTTGCTTAAGTACAATTTACTTTGGATGAGTATTTACATTTTCTACAACTTACTACTTCTCCTCCTCCACATTGCAGAGGGAAATATTGGACTTTTTACTGCTCTACATCGACCTGACAGCTGGAGTCAGTAGTTAACAGTTTAAATAACAAACGTGATAAGCTTATAAAATACAAATATATATACTTCCTCTTATAAAATCAGTGAGGAGCTGTGTCTGCTTGTTTTCAGTTGATTTCAGTTTCACCAAAGACGCGGGACTCTGGATCAATGATCTGATGATGTCAGACAATCAGAGATCAGTGACAGGAGACAGTTTACTGTACAATGAAGTACTTTTACTGTGGTACTGTAAATACAGGAAGTACTTCTACTGTGGTACTGTAAATACAGGAAGTACTTCTACTCTGGTACTGTAGATACAGGCAGCTGATAACACTACTGATAGAACTTTCTCTTAAATGGGATTTTAATTGCAGTACTTTTACTTTGTGATGGAGTATTTTTGAATAGTTGTATCTGTACTTTAACTTGAGTAAAAGGTCTGAATACTGTTTCCACAGTATTGTGGGTTGTTTCCGTGGTAGATGACAGAACACAGAGGACTTTAATGTGTAGATGTCAGTGTTTCCTGTCAGAGAAATAAAATCATGTCTCTTCCTTTCAGACAGTTACATGTCATGGATGAAACTCATGTGATCAACCAGGTGAAAGAAGACGTGTGCTACGTCTCTCAGCAGTTTTACAAGGACATGGAGATCGCACAGTGAGCACACACACACGCACACACACACACACACACACACACACACACACACAGCACCAGAGGCTTCAGGTCGTCTGTCTGAGTCTGGTGAACGCAGTATCTCAGGAACGTCTTTAGGGAATTTGTGATTTTCTATTTGTGACTTTTGTGACCTCACAAAACATAATTAACATATTAATTCATATGCTAATTATGACACAATTTAAAGTTTTAACATTTTATATCCAAAAGGTCAAAGGTCAGCTTCAGGTGGATGTTGTTTAAGCACATGTTGTGATGAAGCACCTCCTCTGTCTGCACCTGGTAGAGCCAGAGTTTCATGAGGTTTCTGACCTGAGCTGGATCAGAAACCTAATGGGTTCTTCTGTGGCGTCTGTTCTCAGGATGAAGGGGGAGGAGAACACTGTGATGAGGGATTATGTTCTCCCAGATTTCAGCTCAATCAAAAAAGGCTTCTGTAAGGTGAGACAGCTTCCATCTTTTCAACATTTTGTCATTTTTAAGAAGTTTTTTTCCTGCAGCAGACGGAATCTGCGGAGCCATGCTGAGCTTGATTCACTGGCAGGTTCACCGCTGCCGTCCTCATCAGTCTGTCTGTCCAACAGCCTCGAGAGGAGATGGTCTTCAATGGAAAATACAAGACAGGAGAGCAGATCCTGAGGCTGGCCAACGAGCGCTTCGCTGTTCCTGAGATGCTCTTTCACCCGTCAGACATCGGCATCCAGGAGATGGGCATCTCAGAGGCCATCGTCCACTCCATCGAGTCCCTGCCAGAAGGTCAGCTGATTCCTACTGGTGCTCGGAATCACATCTCATTTCTTTATTTTCTGTCCTTGTGTGCAAAGCCGCTAAGTTTCCTCTGCCACCAGAGATGCAGCCCCACTTCTACCAGAACATCGTCCTGACCGGAGGGAACACTTTGTTTCCAGGCTTCAGAGAGCGTCTGGAGGCGGAGCTGCGATCTCTCGTCCCCGCCCACCTCCCTGTGTCAGTCCTACTACCTGCAAAGTAAGTGACTACAGCACTGGACCTCGGTCTGAAGGCGAGAGAGCTGACTCTCAGCCACAGCTCTCTTCAAGAAATTCCGCTTTGTCAGTGAAAAAGATTCAAGCTTATGTCTCTCCTCAAAGACGTCCTGTGGTTCTTTGTTTTGTCCTGCAGTCCAATCAGTTACTCGTGGGAAGGAGGGAAGCTGCTGGCCCACAACCCGGACTACGACGAGATGGTGGTGACAAGAGAGGACTATGAAGAGAATGGACATTGTATTTGTGAAGAAAAGTTTGACCTTTGACCTCATGAACATAAAAATCATAGCCACAAATGACTGTTTCTATTACACAATAAAATAATTCTCATGCACTTCAGGATAGACAGTAAAATATAAACTTTGACTGTTTGTTCTACAGCAGTTATATTTTTATTTCAGTGTGTTGTATTTCAGTATGGCAGGATGTTGTGTATATGTGGATGTGTTGATTGTTTTTCTGAACTTTTTTTACATAAAAAATTGCTAAAACAAGAGTTCAATCATAAGTGTGATTTTTAAAGTGTTAAAATATTTTATCATTGCAACTAATTATTATTTTCCTTCTGCCATTTATTTGGATTAATCAATTAGTCTACAAACCAACCAGTTTTTTTGGACCAAAAGTCCAAATATTCCCAAAAACCTGAGTTTAAAGCAACAAATCTTCTTTAAGATGCTGAAATCTGGAAATAATTGTAATTTTTTTCACATCGCTTGTAAAGTGTAAATTTTTTTCAAGCAAAAATACAAAATATTTTGGTATGAAATTTTGAAGTTTTTACATTTCATAGATTAAAAAATTAATCAGTGATCAAAATAATCCTTAGATTGAAAAGTATTTATATTTTAATTTTGGCCTTGTGTCCTTTTTAAGGGCTTATAGTGTTGAAAAAGTGTTTTTTTTTAGGTAGGTCTGACAATTATTTTCTTAATAATAAATTGGTTGTTTAGTGTAAAATGTCAGAACATAGTGAAAAATGGCGCATTATTGCCTGAAGCCGTGAAGTCTTAGTTTGTCTGAATAATAGTGTTGAGTTCACTGTCAGCAAAAAAGTGGGAAGCTACCAAATCTTCAGACTTCAGAAACTGGTAACATTGAATTTAAGAGTAATGGTTTCAGCTCTAGAGCACTGGCTGGCTTCTGGAGGTCTGGAGAAACATTAGCAAAAATATTGCCCAACAGCTGAACAGTTAACAATGAGAAAACGAAGCATTTAAAACATTTTAGAATTTAATTTGGGACCGAGCGTTTGCTGTTAAAAACATTGGTATGGCCCTTTAAACCGGCTCCTTTACGTCTATTTCTGGCGGGAATCGCATCGTCTCTTGCTAGCTAGGTTAACTTTGCTCGGTTTAGTTTATGTTGTAACCAACTATTGGAGTCTAACCTCTGTCAGAAAGTAAAGTTAGAATAGAGAGAATAGAGGTCCGTTTGATTTTAAGAGTTAACTAAAACTGAGTTGTGTCAACCTGTTAAGGTTTTTTTTTGTCAAACCGTAGCTAGCTACATTAGCATCGCAAACTAAGCTAACTTAGGCGGATACTGTTAGCCGCCATTAGCAGAGCTCTGTGTTATCTGCTAGGTGAGCAGTTTAAATTTCACCATACTTAACTAAATATATGCCGGTAGCAAACCAGACAGGAAGAATGGCAACAGGGAGAAAACAGATGAAGAAGAAACAGCCAGAGGAAAAATCTGATAAAAAAGTCTTTGATTTTATTGTAGAAGATGAAAAGAAAGAGCTGAGCGGTTCAGAGGATGAAGTTAGAGAAGGTGAGTGTAAGGTGACTGTGGATTCACCGGGTGTTAGCCTTTCACACCTCTCTGGTTAACTGAGTAAAACGACATTCATTTTGATTTTTTTATGATTGTTCTAAGATGAAACTCCAATAGTGGACAAGCTGGCAAAGAAGAGACCTGCAGCTGACTTTGAAGCAGCTGAGGCAACCTGTGCTGTTGGGTACTGACTCAGTATTAATACTATTTAATCACTGCTTTATTTAGATATTACGTTTACTGATACTATGAAATAGATGCTAAAAGAGTTAAGAGTATGAAAGCAATGTACTCTGATCCTTTTAAAAGTACCACTGATTTTATCTTCATCAGTGTGTTGTATTTTATGATCTGTAGATCTTAAATATTAAAATCCTGATCGGACAGTAATAGTAGTTTAAAACTGTCAGATAAATGTAATGCAGTAAACAACAACAACAACAACACAGTATTACCCCCTGGAGTGTTTTGAGGAAGAAGCATAAAGCAGAATAAAACGGAAATACTCAAGTAAAGTAGAAGTACCTTAAAATTATACTTAGGTACAGCACTTTGAGTAAATGTACTTAGTTACTTCCCACCACTGTGAAAATAAGTTTTCTCTCTTTCTGCTTCAGAAATGAGGTCCAGTCTATGTTGGAGAAATTTGGAGGTAAGTAGCTGATCACTGGTGAGTAATTACTGACCAAATGAAAAATGTGGAGTCTTGAGAAGCAAGTGATTTTTTTGTTTATTTTTGTAATACTGATTTTGGCCACAAGAGGCTAAAGTGCCCCACCACCCCGGTCTAAACAGGACTAAAAGTGTTCTTGTTTTTTTCCTGGTGTTTTTAAATTTCTCAAATACTCTAAACACGAGGTTCATATACTGTGTGTTAGTTATGTACCATCACTGTCATGTCTTTCTTGGGCTGGAAATGTATTTTATACATTTTAAAATCCTCTTCTTTTTGTGTCTGAATTTCTTCCAACTCCATTATCTTCAGTTTCTCCTCCAACAAAACACTGGAAGGGGACAAGAACACATCAGGTTCTGTTGTAGTGTCTAGGTTACAAATGCTCATATAGTTTAAGTAGGACCAATGATTTCATGATTACACTGACTTGAATATGAGCATATGACCAGATGGTCATTTCTCAGACCCACAGTATATACACATACCAAACAGCCAGAGTATTAATGATTTTATTCTGAGTTTAGCTTTTGTAAGCCTTAAAATAAGTTAGAAAACAGTGTTTAGATGAATGTCCTCATACCCAGCAAAGTAGGGAATAAAAAAACTATCATTTTTGTCTTGATACCTTAGATTAAAGCATTGTATCGGCACATATCGGAAAATAATATGCAACTCTGTTGCTTAGTGTGTCAGAAACTACAGGCAGTGCTATTTTATTTGCTTCCAGCTGATATCAGCAAGGTGATGCAGGCCAAGAAGAAACGTCTGGAGTGTCTCACAAAGAACTACATGAAGGGAAGTCAACACAAACTGGAGCAGCTGTGGAACAACTATCACAGCCAGAGGTTCGACTTTCTCCTTCATGACACCAGGACGAGTCACATGACTGAGCATCCAGCCAAAATAAATGTTTATTTTCTTTACCATTCAATCATTTTATCACTTAAAAATCTCACCAAAATTATGACAGTTTCACATTTTCAGTAGAATATTGCTGTTTATACCAGAGCTAAACAGACTGAAACAGTGACTTCTGGTGATTGTTTCAGCATCGCCTGCTGTAGAAGAAATGTTTATCTGTGTCATCATGGTGACTACGGTGTGTGTTTGCAGGCAGAAGATGACTCAGCAGTATTCTCAGCAGGTGTCCACGGCGCTGCAGCAGTGGGAGACTGAAGCCCAGCGAGCTGAGGAGCAGGAGGAAAAGCTCAATGTCAGTTCACTTGCTTGGTTGATTGGTTAGACGGGACCGCAGGTCTGATGCTCTGTGTGTTCTTAGAACATGTGGGTGATGAACTCTTCTCTCTGCAGAATCTGTTCAGACAGCAGCAGAAGATCCTGCAGCAGGCCAGAGTCGTGCAGAACCAGAAGCTGAAGACTGTCAGAGAGCTGTATGAGCAGTTTGTGAAGGTGACTGTGCTCACTCGTTCTGATGTGGATGTCGAGTGTTGTAATGTTGGTCCTGTGTTATGCTTCACTCTGCTTCCTGTCAGCCTCCTGACACCACAGAATGCTTCAAACACAAGTCTGTTTATACATCTCACATCACATCCATGTCTTTTTATGTTCAAGTAGAATCTGCTGGGTGTAATTCATGCCAGTATCGATAATGTCAAGTTAAAATGAAAAGAATCTGATGCGTTGGAAACACAGGTCTTGGAAGGAAGTGAACTCAAAAAAGTCATTAAAAGGTATTAAAAAGTCTTGAATTTAATTTACAAAGGTCTCCAGTCTCAGCTGGGCAGCAGTGTTTCTTATAAATTCAAATTTGACAGCGCAGCAAAAAAGAATAGCACAATGGGAAAATGTAATAAATAAAATAAGAATAGAAACAGAATCTAAAGTAAATAACATAAAATAGAAATAGATTAGATTAGATCTGATTTCTATTCTGATTTATTTCTTATTACATTTCCCCAGTGAAAGGGGGAAAATGTAATAACTGTTATTATAGGAGTCATATTGTTATATGCTGCAAAAGATGTCATATAAAAAGGAAGTGGAATTACTTAGTAAGAGCATGAAAAGTTCGAAAAGGATCAGTGAAATCCATAGTCCTTTACTGGTTTTCAGGGAGCAGTTGAAGTGAGGTCGTCCCTGTTTCCTCCAGAACATGGAGGACATTGGAGAAGGGCATGAGGCTTTCCTGCAGGGGGCGCAACAAGATCGAGGAAAAGAGATGGCCACGCTGCAGAAGAAGATCCTCATGGACACGGTGAGTTCAGTCTTTTCGCAGACGTTCTATGTGCAGTGAAGTTGTAATGGTACAAACCATTATAAATTATTTTGCAGTCAAAGTAGACGGTAATAATAAGATGTCTTACTGAAGCTGTTGAATGCCCTGCATCTAATCAATTTACCATAATATTCAAATGTGATAACTTTAGTTTGGATTCTTTCAGATTTTTCATCACGTGAAATGAAGCTTACAGCACAAACAAAAAAAAAAAAAAAAATCTATCAGCTGTTGATATTGAGTCATTGCTTCCAGAAACCTTTCTTATTTTTACGGGGGGGCGA